ATGAGGTAATAATTTACTTCAGTAGGTACCTAGGTAACAACTATTTAACGGGATTTTACGCGTTCAGAAACGTTAATATCCAAAACGAAAATTTTAAATTTAATCAATAACTAATTAATTACAAAATCTCATTATATTCCGCTCCTTCCTTAACGTAACGTGATTAATTTACTTTCAGTTCTAAAAAAGTAAATTGCGGTAAGTGCTATTTTTAGACTACTATATTGACCTTTGGAATTCAAATAGGTACATATTAGACGGTAGGGAAAATATTGAAATGCCATATATTGAGAATCAACTAGTAAATAACTTGAATGAAGAGCAAGCCCTCAATATAGGGCATTTATATTACATTATACTTTATATTATTACTTGTATACAAATATATTGACTGTAATATTTAAAGACACAGTTTTTTTATATAATAATAATATTAAAGGGCATGATGGAAGATCGTGGAAAGTGGTAAGAGCTCCACCGACAAGAACATGGATCTTAAATTGTGAATAAATGAATAATAAATTTATTAAGCCACAATCATAGACAGGCTCTAAATCATTTTCGTAAGCAATTGTATGAGGCTGGGATCTAAACTAAACTAGGTACGAGGCCTACAAAATAACAAATTATGAAGAATATAAGTGTAGTAAGTTATTATTATTGAATTGAGTCGGATAATATTCCACTGTATAATAATTTTATAAAATGAAGGTAGTTTAGTGGCTATGGCTATGATGGGGGCACTATTCTTTCGAATTGTGTATTCTTTTACACTACAGGTGTAGTGTGCAGCAGCACCAGGAAAAGGAAAATGAAAGCTAAAATTTACCGTGATCATGATGGTTGAAACTCTGCCGAAATATCGGGAACTCAATAAATATGAAACGTGGTATAATCCCGTGATTTACTAATTATACGTATATATATACAATGACCGCATCTTTAAAACAGATCAAACAAGTAGCAGCTATATACAAATGTATATTATAGATTTATTTATTGTAGATTTAGATATTATTTATAATTGTGAAGTATATAAGTACATAAGAGGGATATACAAGGGGATTTGACCGCGAATGACAGGCTTGTTATTTTCTTTTAACATCTTAATTAACCAACGGTGTGACCGCGCGATGTGAATAAATTCACCACAGTAGTTTTAACATATAACGTGCAACAAATTTCAGTAAGCCTAAATATTATATACCCATATTCATAATTTATAATTTTCTCATGTAAATCAAATTGTGTAAATCTTACAATATTTTTAGTTAAACAGTTAATCGGCAGTTTTATGGCCGTACACACTGTGTACATTCAACATGACAAGTTGTATAACACAGTAAGCAGAGCTCGTCATAGCTGTAGTGTGTTTGTTAACTTAGAATTAGTTGCTGAATGCGACGGAAATTCAGTCTTCCGTGATTAAACTACAATCTGTGCAATTAGTCATTAGAGACTTCGCAGTTTGTTTTCTCTACCTACTCTATAATTATCTAAAGTCTGGGACATCGTTTTTTTATACTATTATAGTGGCATACAAGCATACGGCACATCTGATGGTAAACCGTTACAATAGCCTATGGACGCACGTTGTTTTCTTGAAAACCCCCTCGTTAAAACTACGGCAGGTAGGTAGTTCATTCCACAGTCTAAGTGTACGCGGAAGGAAGTTCCTCTTAAAACGTACTGTCCGAGACAACTTAGGTTCCAGCGTGTGGAAATAAATTCCCTGTCGACGGCGAGCGATGCTGTGGTAAAGGATAGTTGTGGGCATCATGTCAAACAATTCTTCAGAACACAGTCCGCTGTATATTCGGTAAAACACACAAAATTGTGTCTAGCCTTTGTTGACTATGAGAAGGCCTTTGACTCTATCGAGACCTGGTCTGTTCTGGAGTCTCTGCAGCGATGCCAAGTCGACTGGCGATACATCGAAGTGTTGAGATGTCTCTATAACGCTGCAACAATGGCCGTCCAAGTACAAACCCAGCAGACTAAGCATATCCACCTAAAGCGTGGTGTAAGACAGGGGGATGTTATATCCCCTAAATTATTTACAACTGCGTTGGAGGATATGTTTAGAATGCTGGATTGGAAAAATTACGGCATTAATGTCAACGGCGAGAACATCTCTCACTTACGATTTGCTGACGACATTGTCATCATGGCTGAGTCGCTGCAGGATTTACAACAGATGCTGAACGGCCTGGCTGAATCGTCTCAACGCATCGGTCTTCGGATGAATTTGGACAAAACCAAGATCATGTTCAATTATCGCATTCGTCCGGAACCGGTCGCCATTAATGGAGTATCTCTCGAAGTTGTTCAGGAGTATATTTATCTAGGGCAAACGCTCCAACTAGGTAAAAACAACTTTGAGAGGGAGGCCAAGAGACGAATACAGCTAGGCTGGGCGGCATTTGGGAAACTTCGTCAAGTCTTCTCGTCGTCGCTACCACAAAGCCTTAAGACCAAGGTTTATAACCAGTGCGTCCTACCCGTCATGACTTACGGTGCCGAAACGTGGACACTGACGATACGACTGGTCCACCAACTTAAAGTCGCTCAACGAGCTATGGAAAGAGCTATGCTTGGAGTTTCTCTAAGGGATAAAATCCGAAACGAAGTGATTCGCCAGAGAACTAAGGTCACCGACATAGCTCTTCGCATCTGTAAGTTGAAGTGGCAGTGGGCTGGTCATATCTGTCGCAGAACCGATGCTCGCTGGAGTAGGCGTGTTCTAGAGTGGAGACCGCGAATTGGCAAACGTAGTGTAGGACGCCCCGCAGCTAGGTGGAGCGACGACTTACGTAGGGTTGCGGGTAGTAACTGGATGAGAAGGGCTGAAGATCGTGCCCAGTGGCGTGCCTTGGGAGAGGCTTATGTCCAGCAGTGGACTGCAGTGGGCTGATGATGATGACACAAAATTGACAATTCTCATAACACGTCTCTGAACCGAGTCAAAAAGACTGAGTGGCTATCCTGGTGCTTCTTACATAAGAGGAGTCTCATTTTTTTATTTTATTAAGTATCCAACATTCTACTTTTCATATTTATTATTTAATACATGAAGCATACACTTTGTACAACGCCTTATATAAAAATTACTTTATGAATATTCTCTTCCTTTTTCAATGGGTTTTATCCTTATAATTTTTTATTCACTTATATTAAGTTATTTTTAATTACAATTATTTTGCCACTCATTCGAAACGCACATTTATTTTGTTTAGTATATTTCCGTAATGAATAAAAAAGTTAATACATTATTTACAACATTTCTTTATTTCCTTTCAGTTCATTCAATACAATTTTGGCTTATTATTGTCATTTTTAGTTGTAAGGATAATATTTATTGTAGGATCAACATTGACATGTTTATATAAATTGCTTCCCTAGACACGGGCAATAAGATAAATAAATAACCAAGTCTAATGGGTCTAAACACATAATAGGACTTTCTCTGTATAAGATGCTAACAAATGTTTTGCATTCGCTGCATACATAAAGTGTGACTTATATATATTTTATTAGAACAATAAAGAAAGTTCATACCTTGGTAGCTTTAAATTATAGAAAGAAAATTCATTGATATATTTTATCGATTTAGGTGTTATATGGCGAATGACAATCTCATTAGATAATGGAATTACATTATTTTGTTCCGCTACCTACATGACAACCGCAGTCTGGTCGCCGAACAGTCAACACTAGGGTTCCAAGCTCTATCCATTGCCTGATGATGCCTCGTTCAGAGGAGAAACACATGTTACAATTTGGGTGTAAATCTATTAACGGTCGGAATTTCATCATTTGGTCATAATGCTTGTAAAGTAGACTGTCCCATTCTAAGACACTGGGTGGGACAGGTAATATGTTAAAAGTTACATTTTTATTTTATTATATATTTTATTACTAACATAGTATAAGTTATGTCATTAAGCTGTTACTAACACAATGGATCATGTTGTCTGAAATAAAAATTATTATTATTATTATTATTATTATAATGCTTCCAATAACAGTGGTCATATTTCCGTACAGAATATTAGTGGTCTCACACATGTTAATTTAACAAAATTGAAAATTAGACAAAATAATATAATTCCTTTAACTAATGAAATGACTTCCGCAAAAGAACACTTAATTCCATGAAATATATCAATGAATATTCTTAATATAAACAAAGTAATATAAATCCATTACATACCTTAAATTACCTACCAAGTAATTCATACTAAGAATCGCCAACAGCTATTTTGAAAGCCAATGTACACAAATGGAATAATTGCCTTTATTAAAGATGTTTGTGGTATCAAAAAAAATTATGAATTCGTGTCCCTAAACTGACATGAAATTCCATCATTATCGTAATGGTGTATACATTAATACTACGCCCTGTACAAGAGAATGTAGATCATTTGGTAGCATCCTATATATTAGGTATTTATTTACTCGCTTGCTAACAGATTATAACTCCAAATATATCTGTGGTTTATACAAAGCAAATGCTATATAATTTTTATAACTACGTACGGAATTTTATTAAACGTCTTTCTCAACAATTTTGACTTCATGTGAAGCATTTTTCAAGGTGCCCTTTCTACTTTACGTCAACGAGACGCTTATAAAATATTACAGAAAATCCTATTATTATTCTAGTAGAGCGATATTTTTAGATCCTCAGATTACCCACAAAGCCTTCACACGGCTTCAAAGCGTTCATACTCAAGCATTATGTGTAATACTGTTGTAAGTTTATCTTATAAATAACTTGCTTTGTAAACTGAAGGAACTGCAACTATCAAATACTTTTGATATATATATTTATACTATATAAATCTGTGTATATTGTGTCCATTTATATAATATACAAGGTGACGACCCACCTGATGGTAAGCGGTTGCCGTCACCTTGGATACCACATTATTATGTGACACTCATATACCAGCCATTGCGATGCTGATGAGGCAATGAGTTCTCTGCAATAGTGCAGAGAACTCATTGCCTAATCTACATCCTACGGATCCAAAATACTTAAAAAGCAAGCTGCTTGTTGGCTGAAATAAGTGAGACAGAAGTACCTTTTACATTCTACCTATGGAGAATATTATACATTGAGACGCGTGATATTTATTGCCCTCCATTACATGATTATTTCTTGTTACCATTTACAAACTTTCATTCCACTTCACAATTGTTCCGAGTCATTCAAAGATAACAGGAAGAAACCTCTCAATTGTGATTATATCATAAGTCTATCATTGTACTAATTTATTTCTTAAGATCGTTGTATCCTTTTATATAGTTTTATTGTAGTTTTTAAAACAAACAAACTTAATATTACATAACTTTCAATTTCAATCCATTTAAAATAAGAAACAGCAACAGCATAATCACTAATTTACCACACATAAGGCGTCCATTATTGTTTTTCGTACAGCTGTAGACATCTATAAAAAAAATAGAAACCCGCTACATTACTATGATAAATACTCCATCCAAATTCTTTTATGTTTATTCTTACTGAATACATTTTATTTCTTTTCTCGTGTCTTATGTATAAAATAAGTAGGGTTTAATTCATGAATAAAAGTTTTATGACGTATTTTTAATCAAAACTAAGATACAATTTTGGCCACCATGCCCAGCAGTGGGAAAGAAATATAAAGAAAGATACTACTTTGATGATATTATTACATATCTAAATAAACGAAGAATTTAAAGCTTGCTAATAATCTAGTTTTAAAACATACCATTGTAATTTAATAACTAAATAATATTTTTAAATGTGTCTACTTAAAACCGACCAATGGTTTTAAATAATTTTGTTACATTGTTTAATTATGTGTTACACTCAAATTTTAGTAGATTCTTAACTTAAGGTTGCATGAAACATGTTCTGTTAATTTATGTTCAATTTTTATACTAAAGACTACTATACTCTTTGTAAAGGACCTTTTAGCTTGTAAGGGTATTACAGTAGCTGAGATTGGATGATGTCGCCATAGATGCGGCCTGCAATATAACTTCTAAAGTTCGAGAAGAGAGGAGAGGAGCGGTAGAATACTATTGCTAACGCGAGGTAAGCCGTGTGGTTTTAACGATTGTGTTAAAACCACAGGTTTTGCTTTTGGAAGATTTTGAAAAATATGGAAATGAAGATGCAGCTTCATTTTTTCAGTAGGATTGTTACTACCCAAGTAGGTATATATTTCTAACAAATTAGATAATTAACGAGAGCGATTTTAATAGTTGGTGCTCCACGACGGTTTTCAATGACAAGTTCTTTGCTATTGTGGACAGAGCCTAACCTTACCTGTTTATTTCGTTTTTTTCCCAGTTCGGTTGTTATTCCAGGAGATGGGGAATTTTGGTAACAGACATGAATGGGCCCCTTTACGTAAACATTCATGTGGTCCCAATTAGACACAGGGTTTCCTGGTGAATTTCCCAGGCTGTGCTAACTGACCTAACTTCATGCTCATGCTATTATTCTCCATTCTTTTAGAGCAGGCTGTATATTATTCTATATTCTTCCATTAAAAAAATAAGGATCGGACCGACAAACCACAAATAGAGAACCAGTCAAAGAAAGAGTCCATCTTATTAGTATCACCATAGACAAGGCAGACGATTTCCATGTCCTGTAGATATTCTGCCATTGGCATAAATTACATCACACGTTATAGGGTGAGTGTCGACAAAACGTTCTCAAAAAAAGCAGATGAAGTTGTGGGAAACAATGCTGCACAGAAATTGGTGAAATGGTATGATGGCCGCCTAATAGGTGACTCAAATATCTCCCCCACTCTTTTAACTGTCGATGGTAACTTAATTCCACTTAATAGCATAGTAACGGAATAAGATTATTTCTATCAGTTAATCCTTATCTATTTATTTATTTATCAGTGAGTACATTATATCGTTCAAATAGATGATATAATGAAAAAACTACAGGACAATAAATAGATGTCTATCTATATAAAACTTTAACCGAATCGATTATACAGAAAAAAATTTTGGTTAACAAGAAAAGACAGAAATTTGTAAACAAAACTTATAAATTTAAATCTAAACCTTTTTTTGGGGAATATATTACCTAAAATAATAACCACATTTTTTTCTCTAACTGAAAAAGCAAAAGCGACGGCAAGTGGCCAGACTGAAAATGACAGTCCCCTATAAAATTCCTATACAGAGACAAAATAACATACAACCTTATTGTTAAGCTTTATTAAAATAAGCAAAAAGCAAACCTATAACTTCATCCTACACTAACACGAGACAATAGCGAGTTTCTATTTTTTTATATTATATAAATCAATTTGACTATTTTAATTACATATTTTATACTCTATTTACATACACCGAATAACGTATTTACAATACAAGATCAGCTTGTATTCTTATGTATGTATTACAAAATTTTGTCACAACTCTACCTATTAAAAAATACAGTTTATTTTCAATTGTGCTACCTTTAAACTATACCCTAACTACCCTTATTTATAAAAACGCTAAAATTGTAATAAAATTAGTTAATCAAGTGTTGTCTTTTATTTTTAAATTAGAAAGAATGCTATAAAACACTTGGTTTTTATAAATAAGGAAGTACATTAACTGTGTCAAGTCAAGTTATTCAGATAATTGTAGAGACTACATCCTATAATTCGTATGCGAAATGGTGCAGTAAATAAATATAGACAAACAAAAAGAATGTTCTCTCAATTTATGACGTAATAAATATTATTAATAATTAAATTAGTCAAATTGTCTGTATATATCTAATAAAGGACCATACAGACTAGAAGGACATGTATATATATTGAACAATATATGTATGAGAAGTCATACGTAAAATAAAAAGAAAACACATTATTAATGTGAATTTATACAGTTCAATCAATAAAACTTTATACATACATTCAGATTTAATATTTATATCTATACATAATTTAACAATCATGTTGTTTACTTGTGCCAAACGTTGCTCCAATAACAGGAGTACGAATTATTTGCACAAACAAACACGATAAACATATCAATCATGGTCCTATTATATATTTATATATTGGGAAATACTATTCGAATAGCTGTCTAGGGGCAGACAAATTAAACAAAATTCAGTTGTAGGAAACAACAACAAAAACAGACTTGTACAATTATTGCAATTCGAACAAGTTTTTGTACGCACATCTGTTATGCAACGAGTCAAACAGCAGTCTCATCAATCTGGAATCACGAATCTAATGGCTTACGGTTTATTAGACAATTGATACAACCAGTGGTATATTTTTATTTTTTTATTGGAAGGTTTGGCAAACTCTGTCAAGGACAAGAATTGAAGGTTATTCTGAGGAGGTATAGTTTTTATCTACTCAGGATACAGTATAAACTTTCCAAAGGTGATAGCTCGTTTATGCATGGGCTACAAACACATAGGATGTGTAGTGGCATTTCCTCTTCACTTCACAAAATCTGCAGTTTTGTTGTGAACAGGCCTAGGTTTTTGGTATAACATTAGAGGACGAGTTTACCGTTGACAATTAACAATGACTCTGAATCTCATCCGGTAAACCAATGGAGACGGTCCTTTTTTATTTAATTTTGTTTTGCCTATCCCGTAAGAGATCTGAAGTAAGTATAGATAAATTTACAGCTTTTTTAAATAATAAAAGAGCCCCATCCTATTAATTTGGCACAAGTATCAGATAGTAAAATTATACCACTGGATGTAATTAGCTAGGAGGACATTGAAATGTCCATATCTAAATGTCTATTTGTTAATTTGTGAATTGTATTAAATATTCCAGTAACTTTGACTAAAGTATATGATACAGTGAAAATAGTAAAGATAAAAAACATCTACTTCCTAATTTAAAGATGTCGACTTTATAAAAGAAATACCACGATAATTCAATAACAATCACAGCGGTAGAAGACTAATAAATTAAAGATATTGTGTTATAATAAATAACAATATAAATAAATTGAAAGCCAGTATACGACTAACTTATATATTCTTCTGTTTAAAAATAAAACATATTTTTATCAGTTCAGTATTAGAAAATTAACCTTATATATTATTCATATTACTTTGAACATTGAAGTAATTTAGATTTAAATACAATTACCATAATCTGCACAAAGAAGTGAAATAGTGATATTATAATAAATAATATCCCAGGACAATTCACAAAGCGCCATCTAGTTCCAAGCTAAGCAAAGCTTATGTTATGGGTACTAGACTGATATAAATACATAAGTAATATATATAGAAAACATCCAAACCGATACAATCATACTCATAAATAGAAATGTTCGCACCGCGCGAGGAATCAAACCCGCTACTATCGGAAGTAAGGCGGTATGCTCAACGGCTGGACCACCGAGACTGTCATTACATCTTAAATGTTTCTAAATGTACTACAATTGAAGTTAAGAACTCAATGAAAACAAAGTAATCATTTGCTTTTGAAAAACGAAACAGCGTACTTGCTATCTTATTTTACTAAAAACTGATTATTTTAACTGTTAATATGTGTATCTTAACTTCAGTCAAAGTTACTAATTAATTGAGTTGTGTTCTACTTATTAAAGCCGCCGTCCTATGTCGATGTTTAGACAAACAAGCCAGTAAATTGCAATGAATAACCCTGATTTACCAACTCGCGTATTTATTTTCTTATTCATAAAAACTTCATATGTCTAATAAACCCACTCTCACTATTAAACTATTGTATACAGCTGTGCCCGCGGTTTCATCCGCCTGAAATTTATAGCCTATATGTTATTCTGATGTATAAGCTATATAACTGTAAAGTTTCATCAAAATCCGTTCAGTAGTTTTTGCGTGAAAGAGTAACAAACATCCATCCACACTCCTATACTTTTATAATATTAATAAGACTTCTTCGGAAGTATTTTTTCAATATGACAAACAAAAATCGAACTTGAACAAACCAGCATTCGATTCAAATTTGAAAAGAACAATCTGATTTTCCAAAAAAAAAACCATAGGGTAAATCCTAATAATTGTTGTTACTTTTTTGTCATGGAGTTTGTGAGAATAAATAGTACCTATTTTTATTAAATAAATAAAAAAAGGTGGTCAGCATACAATGTAATAGTCAAAATGGGTTTATAACTTTTACTTTTTATAAATAAGGCTTTAAAAATCTAGACGTTCTCTCTAAGATCAACCGAGGCTCACTTTTATCTGCACTAACAACTGAATTGTCACTATATATAAGTATATATTCCATCACTATCACAGATCACCAAAATCTTTGCTGTCTGGGACCGACCCACCGATTCGGCGGCCTCGGCAAATTTCTCGGCCAAAACTGTGGCTGAAAGCCGGGCGGCCTGAAAGTCCGTGGTCCCCAATTTCTGGGGAACCTTTGATTCATAAACGGCCTAGGTGGTGGATTTTCAAACATATTTTCAATGAACTCTCCGAAAGGCGGTGGCGAGTTCACGTTCCTCACTTCCGGAGTTGGGATTATCTCTTCAGGACCTTTCTCTATGCCTCTACTCCTCAGATCTTCTTCGTATGGAGTTTCAGAGGAGTCCTCATTTTGATTTTCGAATTCGTCATCGTTTAGTGGAAAGCTTGGTGGATTCGGGAACGGTATGTTAAACTTTTGTAGGGCGGGGGGCATATTATCGAATGGATTCGACAATGGGGGGTTAATGACGGGTGCCGACTGTGGGCCGTTGTTTTTATATTCTGAACTGTTGATTTGTATGAGATTGTGGTTAGATTCCTTTAGGTTGGTCTTCCCGTTGTCCCCGCCCACCAGTACTTTGTTGTTGTTGAAGCTGTGCCTTCTGTTGTGCTCATTTTGGTTGGATTGATTCGGGTACATACCTGCTGAAAATAATTGATTAGATATAAAATATGTACATTATAATATAATGTAATACACAATAATGTTAGTAATATGTTTCGTTTATAATGGATTGATCCAAATCCAAATTGAATAATGTAAAAGGCTATATCCATATATTTTTACACTACTATTATATTTTTTAATAGAATATGATCGGTAGCTAATAGCAAAATAAAATATAAAGTAGTGTGTAGAGAGAGGATTAACTGAAAATTATTGATAGTCCTAATAACATTTAAAAAAAGAACGATGTAAAGTAGCTAAAGTGTATTTGTCTGTTTGTTAGCTATTCACCACTGAACGATGTTAACGAAATTTGACGTGAAAATAGCCAATAACACGAGGGTGGACTTAGAGTAACTTCATTGTAAAAAAAGGCAGACAAAGTCGCGGAAAACAGATAGTGTTTAACAACTTACGTTGATCCTCATCTTCAGATAAATCCATATCAACACTCTCCACTATATCGCTCGGGGTGATCATCGGAGGCACTCTGTAATCCTGGAATGATGTATAAATAAAATTATATAGAGAACTCTATTAATTACATAAAGAAAAATAATACATAATTTTATGTTCTACCTGTGTACAATAATTAATGTGTATAATTATTAATAATTATTCATATTAATAAAAAAAACCATAAGGTAATACCTAATAATTATTAATATTAATAATTATAAATGCGAAAATTACTCTGTTGCGATTTCATGGCGAAACTACAGAATTTATTTAAATAAAATACACAGATAGTCTAGAACCTGAGAAAGGACATCGGCTACTTTTTAGCGCAAAAAAGGGTTGTAAGGGGTTGAAGCCAGAGACGAAAGGTTATATGAAAATGTCTTCATTTTTAAGTACAACGTTGAAACTTTTTTGATCTAACTAAATATATTATATTTATTTAGTCAAGGTCACTATTCCACGCGGACGAAGTCGCGAGCACAGCTAGAACCTCTTGATTGATTTTCCCGCGCTTAATCACGTGCGCTCTCCTTTTCGCGCATGCAAGAACGTGTCGTGTAAGGTAGCTATTACAATGTTTAGTGTTAATGTATGTAAATATCACTCACCTGGTCCAAATTAACGGGGTTTACTGGCCTCGGCAGACCAGGGTTCATGGGTCTGATCGGGGCCGGTGGTTGATGTGTTAATGATATTAAATTCCTATGATCCACATCTAAATGAGAAAGTAAACTTTTATTATTGTAAGCCAATTGATCTCAAATTTAGTTGTTCACCGTCCATAAATCAAGAGATATTTTTTAGCATATTCAGACTAAACAATACCTGTATTTTTGGTGCCAAGTAATCTTAAAAAGTAAAGTTTTTTTTTCCGGAAAACACTTATATAACATTGTTTTGTAACTATCACAACATACCAATGGAGAGCATATACAATAGATACGTAGAATTGTTCATACACTAGATCTGAAAAACTAATACACAAAAACATACATAACAGACTTGAAAAATATTAATAAATTACAATTACAAGTTACCAGGGGCCCGTCCCGGATTTACAAGGATATATTACAAATCTTTAAATTTCTTAGCTTGTTCTATACTATAACACGCATGTATAATACTCGTACTAATTTATAAACCTTCCTCTTGAATAAGTCTATCTATTGCTGAAAAGAGCACTAAACTCCGTTGCGTAATTTAAAAGATATAAGCGAACAGACAGCATCAAATTGTACAGACATTAGATAGAATTAGAATAATTGAGATTACATTAGTAAAATTATTAACAGTTGGATATAAAATACATACCTTGGTGTGCTACTGGATTCCTGATGATAGTAGGTCCTGCCGGCGGAAGTGGTAGAAACCTATGGTCCACATCCTCTCCGTCTACAATGAAAAAATAATGGTTACAAATGTTTGCACCGTGCGAAGACTAACGCGCGACCGTCGTAAGTACGGTGGTGTACTAAACCGATTGACCAGAGATGAGAACACGCAGTCCCCGAGCCTCTTGCGGCCCGTTAAACATGTTTATGCAGCCCGCTAAGCATTTCTATAATTGAATATATTTTTCTACTTTCTTCCATCAATATGTTGTTGAGTATAAAAGTAATTATAATAAAATAGTAGTACATACTAAACCAAAACATTGTTTGTGACGAGTTGTCACTTGTCGGCGCCTTGTTCAAACATGCAATACGAACGTTTGCATTAAAATGGAAAATCTTTACTTTTTTTTTATTTAATTCATATTTTTTATTCTGTTTATTATAAATAAAGTTTTGTACGTTATTAATTGATATCATTTTATATATGCGGTCCGCTAAAACAATTTAAAATTTTAGTTGAGCCGTTGATTAAAAATGATGCTCACTTCTGGTATAAACATAAAAAAAAATGCAAATACTTGTCGTAACGCCAGAAAGATTTAATACAAGTATAAAAGGAGGACATTTAATCAGTTAATAAGTCAACTTACGGCCAAGGATTGGTAGAACTGGTGGAGGCGGCGGAGGTGGTAGTAGCCCTCTGTGATCTACGTCGGCTGGTGGCGGCAATTTCTAGAACAAATGTTGAACATTAAATTGACGGCCTTAATGGTCTTGCACATCGCTTCACTTCCGATAATGGCGGGTTCAATTCCTCGCAGGGTGCCTATATTTTATATTCATGACTGAGTGTTTGTACTGGTCTGGGTATTGTCTATTTATATTATGTATGTATTCACAAAAAAAATCTATGTATTTATATCAGTGGCTTAGTACTCATTATACAAGCTCTGCTTATCTTGGGACTAGATGAAGTTGTGCGAATTGTCCAGGGGTAATATTACTAAATTGTAAATAGACAGAACATGGTTTTAGGCAGGCGAATAAAATTGTCAGTCCAATCATGTCTGCACCAGTGAAGGATTATATGATGAGCATGATTTGGCGAATTATGTAAGCCGAGGTATGTATGAGGAGTGTACCTGTGACGAGTGCAGCGGCTGCAGCGCCGCGGGCGGGGGCGGGCCCGGGGGCGGAGACTCCGGCGTGTCGGTGTAGGCCGAAGTATGTATGAGGAGTGTACCTGTGACGAGTGCAGCGGCTGCAGCGCCGCGGGCGGCGGCGGGCCCGGGGGCGGAGACTCCGGCGTGTCGGTGTAGGCGGGGCGCGGGGAGGGCGGGGCGGCGCGGTTGGTGGCTGCGGGCGCGGGCACGGGCCGCGGACCTGACTACACGCACACCGTCACCACATTTAGCACATTTGATGGTCCTGGGTTCGATTCCTCGCACGATGCAAAAATTTGTATTCATAAGTATAATTGTTTTTATGTATACTACTGGTCGCCTATTAGTCGAAATTGGACTGTTATAAAAAATACAAAAAGAGTTTTGAACCACTATTGGAATAACAATTAAAGAAATTTTATTGATCTAATGTATTTTTATATATAATTTAAAAAATTGTATTCTTCACTCCTCTATATAAAGTACAAGTGTGCGAAATTTCATACTCCTCCGTCCACGCAATTTTCCCCACGTTCCTCTGAAACCGCATTGTCCAAGCCCCTTTATGTTCCAGTGTGTGGGGTTGAATTCCCTACATTAAATGTGTCTATGTCGTGCATAAAGTCATTCTACATATAATAACTTACCGGCATCCACGACGTATTATTCCATACGTTGTTTGTCTCTGGATGGTAAGGCTGTGGTTCCGGATCTAGATCTGAAACAATGAATTTGTTAATGAAGAATAAGATGTAATTCTAATCATTTTCTTTACAATAAAAGTCAACTAAAAATGCAATCCATAATCCAATAAAAACTGCCACTCAAAGTTTTTTTGGTGTTAGCCAGATTTGAATTCAGTAGCTATTAGGTGTATGACAGGGTAGTGATCCACTACGCCACGAAGGCCTATATATATATTTGAACTTACCAATAATATTTTCCATAGTGCCATAGAATGAGGTCGGTGGCGGCGGGTTCCCTGTACTTTCTGGCGTTAATAGATCTAATCCTGGAAGTGTGTCTTGTGACTTCTGTGACATTGTACCACTGGTCACTAAAAGTAGAGTAATTAATAAAATAATTAATAGTAGAAGAATGTTAAATACAAGTCCGCCATATTGGATATGTGTATATACCTACATGAAGTTTTTTTACTTATTTAATATTTTGAGTACATTGAATTAGTGCTAGTTGGTAGATTGTATTCCCACATTTTAACTTAATAATGTAAAATTACAACCAAATTATTTAAAAGGGCAACACACAAGTTTCTTGCTCGATTGTCTCATCACAAGCTTTTCAAATGATCGGTAGATTAAAAAAAAGTGATAACAATTCAAAAGTTCTTCAATGTAAAGTTATTTGAATAAATGATTTTCTATTCTATTGCACTGGTAACTAAAATTAACACATGATTGGTCTTCAGGAATAGCAACGCACGAGTTGTACCAGACATATATTGCCGATAGTTACCATCCACTTACCATCAGCGTGTTACCATTGCAGTTACAAAAGTATGGAAAAAATATTATACTCACCTGAATTATTATCTGATGTTACCAGATTGGTATCATTTGGTATTAAATTCTTTAAAAAGTCATTTATATTAAAATCTTGCTTTTCTGATGGTCTACTATTTATTACTTCTATTTTGTTAGCTAGAAAAAAGAAATATATTTAAGTATATTAACTATCTTATATATTTTATATGTGTAATAGTTTTATGACGGCTTCGGTTTTGACTGTAACTCTTTCAGATGATGGCGGGTTCGATTCCTTACACGATGTCAATAGATGCAGAAGAGAATGTAATACTCGCCCACACACCAATGTGAGGATTTTATTATTAGTAAGAAATTTTCCGGTAATGCGGCAGATATCAGTATCCCGGCTTCACACGGATGTACTATATTACAATATTTTTAATTTTTCGACTTGTTCTATACTATAACAAACATGACTTATACATAGAAACCTTCCTCTTAAATAACTCTATCTATTGCTGAGAACTGCATTAAAATCCGTTGCGTAATTTAAAACATAACCGAAGAAATAACGACGTCAGCTTTGTATAATACTATGAAAAGATTTACTATAGAATTTTATGTAACTCACCACTAGTGTTGATGTCTGTCGAGTCATTAAACATTGATAAAGGATTATCGGGCGTGAGAAACGACGATAGTCCCAAATTATATAAGGAACCATCAGCTGCTATTGAAGAGTTGAATGTTCTGTCGATATTGTATGCAACTGGAAAAGAAATTGCCAATTGGCTTTTATCAGATCTGATTACTGTTTAGTAGACTAAGGTGCAAAATAAATTAAGTATTAAGTATTCAGGGTAGCTGATAATTTCACAACTTAGTACTCACTGTAGATACTCACTGTCATCGGGTCCGTCGTCGACATCGTCGGGCGCGTGTAGGTGGCGGTCGGGCCCGGCGGGCGGCAGGTCGAGGTCCTCGTCGGGGGAGGGGGAGGGCACGTCCTCGTCGCGGCGCGGGGGGGAGGGCGCGGCGGCCGGCAGCTGCGGCGCCAGCTCGTCCAGCTTCCGCTTCAGGACGCGGACCCGGGCGCCGAAGTTCTTGTATGCCTGGCGAAAATTCGTGATCGTTACCTTATCAGGAAGCACAGAACTTACTGCACTTGGGCTGCTAGACAGGCCAAGAGTCTTTAGAAGATTGTACAGAGTTCGCTGGTGTACCTCTCGCTACCATTCAATATAAATTAACCACAGAGCCATGTTTATAGTATAATAGTATCAAAACGCGAAATTTAAGTAAATTTACTTTAACAAAACTTTGTTGGGGCTGGGAGGGAAAATTTACTGAAATTGAAGTCAACTCACATATGCAACAACTTTAACTTCGCCGCGTTGCGTTGAATAGTACTGATTTGCGGATGTCAATAGTGCAAGAAGCGCTTCTCTAGCTACAATCTCTCGTTGTAGTGCCTGCGTATACCGTTCTACGCATGCTATACCTTCATTAAGTTCCTTTTCCACATCATCTTTATGACTTCTATCTGTAAAAATAAAAGGTTAAGTTATTCATCCATAATATTATGCATAGCACAATGTGTATGTCTGTAAAATGAAAGGGTCGCCTTTATCTAATCTCTTTTGAGATTACCAAACATGTACAAAGACTACCTTGGGTAATCCAGGAAAACTTATAGGTTTTCATTTGAGACATGGAGTGACTTTTAAAGTACATCAGAAAAATTTTACTTTTGTAACCATAATTTTACTAATATTATAAACGTATGTGAATGATGTATACATGGATGTTTGTTACACTTTCATGTAAAAACTACTGAATGGATTTTAATGCAACTTTACAATAATATAACGTATACATCAGTATAACATAATCAAGCGGTGGAAATCGTGCCAATAGCTAGCATTATTATAATGGTAATTTTTAATAAATCATAGAAAAAACATAATGAAATACAACATACCTTTAAGACTTGCACATAATGCATCAGCATCGGAAAGCTCCAAATGACTCTCATGAATGTATTTGAGTCTTAAATCTGTATCCGCTTCCAACACTGAACACTGTTTTATTTTATTCACTAGTTGTTGTGGCTAAAACATCATGTTAATTTAATATCTAATATACAAGTTTAGTCAGAAAGGGTAAGCCTTAGCACAATACCTGAGTCGAGGTATAGTTATATCAAACCCCTAGCAATGCCCTCAGAATAAAGTCGTATCCGTCAGGCGGGAGTTAGTCAGCCGCTCTATAATTCCATCTATGGGTTTGGAGTGCTATCTGAACTCGCCCTCTATAGTCTGATGTTGCTGTAAAGGCAAGCTACGGCCAACAGCATTACAGTAGTCGGAATAAAAACCTAATATGTAACTGATCGGGTTTCAAAATGGCTTGTAGAATTTTATATGAAATTTTTGGAATATATTTGGTAAGTTTAAGTATTGGTCCTAGACTTTTTTTTTATACCTTTTGTGGATAAGGAGGGACATATCCAAAAGTAACTTATATGGTAAAAAACCTTCAGAGTTAATCCTATGGGATTGACCTGGAAACCATTGTGGGTAATTAGTTATGAATTCACCATGATGGAATTACTGGCCTAAGGAGTGAAGGGAATAGCCGTTACCATTAAAAAAATCACTTGAGGTACTTACTTGAAAATCTAAGGGGTCATCATCAGTCTTTTTAATAGCGCCGGCGCTGAGCAATCCCGTAAGGTCTGATAGAAACTCATCATCATATACACCACGTTGCTCCCAGATTTTAAATATTCTTAAGATCTTTGTACGTACTTTTTCATCTCTGGAAAGTTAAAAACATTACCACATTTGTCAAATTATGTTAAGTAGTTTAGAAGTTGTGTGGGAACATATGAACATACATATTATTGATGAATATATTTGTTACAGGGCAGCAGTGGAAAATACTCCTTATAATTAAAATCTTTTAATTAACAAACATTCATTTGTTATTTAGCTTGAGTTAAGCTCTTTTCACTTTCTGCTATCTTCGATAATACTCTTTAAATGTTGATATGTCACAACTCCAATTCTGTCTTTAATTTGCTTGATGTAGTATACATATATAAAATATATGTATCTATTTTCATATTTAAAAAGAACAAGTTAAAAGTAAAGTAAGCAATTGATGTGGGTATTTAGTTATTTCTTATGTTGCAGTACATAATAGTACATAATAAATATACTTGTATTGTCATCTTAACAAATCAGTTAACAATAGACCATCTTTGATTTAATACACTACAGTCATAACAAATATAAAAGCATACACAGAAAGTCATAAATAATGTCTGTAACCAATAGTAACACTAACAGTAATATTACATTAACAAATAACTGGAAATGCAGATATCATCCTATCTCATTTCAATTAATAATAATAGACAGACATAAATATAATTATTACTATTTTATTGCAATAATTATTGTATAGCTTTATAAACAAATGCATATGAAATCTTCAAAAGTGTCAATCATGCAGCTGATTTTCCGTGGTATAGGCTCCCAAAAGAATGATGTACAGTGACGATAAACTATCTTATTTACTCAAACAAGGCTCTAGTACAGTAATCTGCACAGTGTGCATAGCAGGCCACATTGTACCAAGATCATTAGTGTGAGAAACAGAAAATGGAGAGAAGCCTTTTAAACAATCTCCAGAAAGATATTAAGCAAAACTTAACTTCTTGATTAATAGTATCTCAAACACAACTTTGCAAAATACTCCTCCAGTGGGGTATATGGATCTATTTACAATATAATATTTGGGTAACTGTACAGTAGTCTCCATATATATAAGCATAGCAACCTGAATAGATTATGTATAAGTTATCAAAACTAGAAACTAACCTGACTAATGGGGTTGCCTTTTGAAGATTAAGGCCCCAGCTCTCAACAAATTCATAGTTCTTCCTTTTACTATACTGTATAACATCATTTGCTAGATAAAATAATACCAATCTCTGCTCAACCTTAACCCTCTTCAGTACATTTAACCAACTTGCAACTATTTTCTTATGATGTGTTCTCTGCTTCAGACACCATGATGATAACGACTGGATACTCTCCTGAGTATCCTTTAGTTGTACAAGCTTCTTTTCAAATGTTAAAGTGTTAAATTCCTCTGTTTCACCCATTGTTGTTAAACTAAAATAGGTGTTATTTAATGATTATACTTCATTGAGCTGCTGTAAAACGAAAACTGAAGTAAGGCATTGTATTCCACTTTAACATTACACTTCAAGTCAGTCTGGACTTGCGTAACATAAGTAAATACACATATTCTTCTCACAGCACGTTTTAAGAATAAATAAGCGGTATTCTGCCGCGTTATTTATAATTTCGATATTAATAGTATGACGCGTTTGTGGATGATTGACACCCCTTCTGAATTATAAAAATTTGATTTTTTTAATTATTCACCGATAACAATATTCTGCATTATAAATAGGACGATACCATATAAATTTTAGGTAACAGGAAGTAGATTTATAAGTGAGAAGACAACAACCGCCATCTTATTTTGTGTAAATATTGATATTAAGTTGCTAGTTTCAAATAATAAAATAAAAATTAATAAATCAGCATTGTTAGTAGATCTAAGTGGTACCTGCGAGTTAACAAGTAGCATAAAAATTGTAATTAAGATTGTAATAATGTACTGCTTCAAAGTTCAAATTTCAAAACCTGCATTTAGGGAGATTTTTATAATAAAAATAAGGTAAATCAAGACAGTAATCTAGCAACACTGATAAGTATAGACTACAGCACCACTACAGCACGACTACAGCTAATCTAGACAGCCTATATACCATAAGTATAAACACCTTTTCACCAAAATATTAGTATTCTGTGGAATTTCTCTATACAGTCGTATTTTTAATTAGACGAAGCTAGCTGACAGTAGCTAATGTCACTTTGTAAAATAATGTTGCCATATTTAAAGTAATAGTGATGCGTTCAGTTCTCGTTCAATCAGATGAATGAATGTGAATAGTTAATCATCTCAAACTATAAAAGAATATTATTTCTATTTTACAATAAAATTGTATAAAAGCGCACTGATATAAGTTATTAGTAGTATGTAACAACAATCAGCTTTTTGACGGCTTATTACAAGGCTCGGCTCGCGGAGCGGCGACAAATGCCAACACCGATCAATGCCGCGCGCGTCGGTCGCCATTTTGTTTGTATTCGGCTTCCAACCTCTGGTCTGATAGCACGAATGTTGTTTCTGCGCTCACGCTGTTTAGTTATTATTTTTGTTAAGTTTTTCGTTACGTTGTGTTTATTTGTTGCTATATTGTTTCGTATAAACGATATGGATCCTCAACCAAGCACGTCAAGCCAAAGCTTGTCTCCAAGAAAGAAGAGACCACGGATAGCTTTAAACGTAACCGAAAAAGTTATGATACAAAACGTCTACAAACACGTATTTGAGGAGAAAGCAGCTTCACTACTACCTATTGAAACTCCCGAAAAAAAAGAATGTGTTTCGAAAACAGCTGACATTTTGGGAATTGGTGTAACCTCAGTTTATAGTGTATTAAAAGAATACAAAGAAAATGAACAATTTAAGTCTCCCGAAAAACGAGGACCGAAACACAGTTTCAAAGATAAACTAGACGATTTTACTTTTGCCGCTATAAGGCAAAAAGTATGTACATCAATTTTTTTATGCAAATGAGCCACCCACCATTGTAAAGGTAACTTAACCTTTATTCATTCTACTGTATTATATTCTGTGTCTATCATAATGTTCTTTGTAAAACCAAGTATAAGATTGCGTAGACTTCCTTACTTAAAAACTTTTTACATTACTTTACAGATTCTTAAGGCAGTCAATAATGACCCAGACTTACCCAATTTTTCTTGAGTACATTAAGAAATGTTATGAAACATTTAAATTTCAAATATGTCACAAAATCAAGACAAAGCATTTTAATTGACAGACAGGACATTATTTTATGGCGCCAGCGATATCTTCAAAAAATTAAAGAGTATCGAAGGGAAGGAAGGTATATTTATTACCAAGATGAAACCTGGATCAACGAAGGTAATTACAATTTTCAGCTTTCTTTACATTTAATTGTACTTTCAATAATTAATTAATATTTTTCACTATATTGAAGGTCATGCACCGAAGAAGGCATGGATTGACCAGACAGTGTTATCGTCCCGCCAGGCCTTCCTAGATGGCTTGACCACTGGCTTAAAACAGCCTTCAGGAAAGGGCAAACGATTAATTATCGGCCATATAGGCGGGGAAGAAGGATTCGTAGAAGACAGCTTATTAATATTTGAAGCAAAAAAAATAAAGAAGATTATCATCAAGAGATGAATGCCGATTCCTTTGAGAAGTGGTTTAGGGGGATCTTGCCAAAACTAAAACCAAATTCCGTGGTAGTGATGGATAATGCCCCATACCACTCCAGGAAACTAGAATCGCTGCCTACAATGTCTTGGATTAAACCTAAAATACAAGAGTGGCTAACGAGCAAAAATATTTCATTTGAAGCAACAATGGTTAAAGCTACTCTTATAGAAATTGTACGGCAGCACAAACAAGAACATTGCGATAAGTATGTTGTGGACGAGATAGCAGCGCAGCATGGGATAATTGTTTTACGTCTGCCCCCATACCACTGTGAGCTGAATCCCATTGAGTTGGTATGGGCGCAGGCTAAAGGATATGTTGCAAGAAATAACAAAACCTTCAAAATGACAGAAGTAAAAAAACTTTTTGAAGAAGGCCTTCAGCACATCACACCTGAAAAATGGAGTAGCTGCGTATCTCATATAATTAAAGAAGAAGACAAAATGTATGGTCTCGACCACATGATCGACAATGTTTCAGACAGATTTATAATTAATGTCACCGAAAGCGATAGTGATGATTTTTTATCTGATGATGAATAAAAACAATTTATGTTATAAGCGATTTTTTATTTTCATTACCTACCTATAAATGTTATATTTTATACATCAATAGTTTCAACTACATGATGCATTGAGAATAGGACAGTCTTACAAGTTTCCTCGCAATGTTTTCCTTATTGTCTAAAACACTCGGTATTCAGTATAGGTAGATACTATAGGAACTTAGTCGTCGAAAACTCGTTGATATGTACCAAGCACGACTAAAATTCGTATCCCGTACCCGATATCGGTAGTTTGGCACACTAACTATTCACTAGACAATGGAGGCAATTTCATTTATTAAAGAGTTTTTTCAATGATTCACTTTGTCACAACACTATTTTTATTTCATCAAAAACTGACAACACAGTAAACGTCAGTTTACTTCGTTTAATTAAAAATACGACTATAGTGTGTAGTTTTCGGACTCTTTCTATATTTTTCACCTACAATAATAAATAAATAACTTTTTAAAAAAGCTTTTTAATACTTTAAATTTATTTACTTATAATATTTTATCTTCACTTTTAGTTGTTCCTGAATTAGTGAGTGAAAATATTTCATATTTTGTGTAGTGATGTCATGTTTTTTTTAATGGATGATTAAATGTTTCACCCACGTACGCTAACGGTTTATGCTGGCAGGGCACCGGTAAAGGATGGTATGATGATGAGCATGAGGTCAGGTCAGTTGGCTCATCGTGATATATTCACCAGGAATTGTATTTAATCGTAAAATCAATCAATTATAATCAAAAATATACTAACACATATCAACTGTAATTTTTTTTATTTATGGGAAATATTTCATGAACAAGTACAAAACTGATTCTAAAGTACCTAATCTAATGTGGGCTTGTCGCACTGTTGTTTGCATGCATCTACATAAAATGCACAAAACTGTGCTCCCGCCATACACTGCCGGTGTAATATACATATGTATACTACGGGGCTACCAGAGGAGCATAATGAATAAGCACGCATTAAGTGCAGCCAGTAAGCCCATCATAGCGAATTCTCCAAGATAGTTTCCGGGGAGTGGAGGGGTGGGCGTCATATTTTTGTTACAGAAAGAATTAAATATAAATTGAATCTTATTGATGTTGGCATAAGGTTTATAGTTAGGCCATGTGTAGCGAATTGTATGAATACATTAAATATCTCCATATTGGTCGAACGAAATATACAATATGCCAATAACTCATATCCTCAAAATCACTGATGTTGAGGATTATTGTGTCGGTAACCAAAATTCCTACGAGTAATTCAATGTGTGACTCACTTCACTTCCTATATGTATAAGAATTATAAAATAAGTTTTGACATATAAATTATATAAGCAATGTCTCTTATATCAATCATATCTAATACATAGTTGCGTGTCACTTGATATCTGGATATGGAATTGGATTAGACGGCCTCGGTGGCCTAGCGGTTAAGCACACCGCCTTACTTCCGATGGTCTCGGGTTCGATTCCTTGCACGGCACAAACTTTTTCATTTATTGTTATTTCTTATGTTATTACGAAAAAAACATCTGTATATTTATCAGTCTAGATGGCGCTGTGTGAATTGTCCGGTGATTATTATTGTTATAGTATCCCCATTGCTAGTCAGGTCAGGTCAACCTCCATGCGGCCTACCCTAGAAACCATAGTGGTCGTCAATTTTTGGTAAATTCGCCACGGGAAAACTGACCTAACTTCACGCTCATTCTATCATCCACAGTTGCCCCGCTAACGTATAACATTAGCGCAGGCGGACACCTTGTTCCCTTATCATCTCTGAAAAAAAAATTAGAGGAATATTCTATCTTCATAGGTATATTTTTTTAATAGGTATTTTTATTTGAGGTAGGTATACATAAAGAGCTTTCTGTATTATACACACTAAATTACTTTACTCCATCTGTCCTATAACGATCATAATAATTATGTTATTATTGAATTTTTCCTAGTTATAGTTAATTACCAAAGACTAATCCTATTGTTTCAGGGTAATTAAACCAATATGACCGGCGTTTCTGAGACGAATTTAGGTGAAAGGCAGAGACAACTAAACGCCCAAGTCTCGGCAGCGAAGTTGAACAATGTGGACTTTGAAGAAATTGTGGCCAAAGAAGAAATTAGTGACAGGGATAAATTGTTTAAAATTGATTTAGCATCAGAGCAGCAAAACGTCGAATACATTGTTAATATCCTTAAATGTGGTGACAGTCTATATATAACGAGGGCACTTAAATGTGTTTGGATATTCGACGATAAATATTCCAATATCATCAATCCAGAAAATCTGCAACAGAACATTTTCCCGTTTATGTCGTTCAAATTAAAAAAGAAGTTTCTAACAACTATAGCCACTAATTTGTTATGTAAAAAGCGGGCGACGAGTTTCTATACTTATTGTATGGATACAAAATACATACACATAGCGCTCAAATTTTTTATTATAACGACCGATGATTTTAAATTAGAAGCCATTCAACATAAATCTACGCCTTTCCATGTAAATGTATGTGAACAAGAAGATAAATATATGAAGGATTTTATTGGAAATTCATTTGAATTGGCTTATGCGTACTTGGAAAGTGTTGATGATTTCCATAGGGAACGTATTTTATACATGCTACGATATCTGTATACAATATCAAACGAAGAATTTTTGGACCTGTTGGAAAAGTATGATTCTGGACGTAATAGAATTTGTTGTTATGGGTTGAGAATTAGTAAGTCTATAATGCAAAAGCATAAAGATAGAGTATTAACCAATATAAAAATATACATAAATACTGTGAACAAGAAAGTTCTAGCCAAATATTCCAATGAAGACAATGCGCGGTCTTATCTGAAGTCTTTTCTTCCTGAAACAGCGGAAGAGTTTTGGAAAATTAATTATTGTAAAGTTTATAAATTCATACTGGAACTTATACCAAAAGAAAGACGATTTGAAACTATTAAAGGTTTCTTTAAAGAGAAATATAATGAAGAATTTGAAACTAAGAAAAAATTCTATGAATTATATTATTATAAACTCATGACTCCAACAGAACAAGAGGCTTGGGCGCTACATCAACTAAATAATAATAAAGAACTCTTAGGGTCTGAAAATGAATACTTATGGTATAGGTTTATAAACTTTAAAATTTCTTTTAGTGAAATAAAGAAGTACGTGATGATTACAACGAATGCCGATAAAAGAATACGCATTGTAAACGTGTTAATAGAATCGGCAAGAAACCAACACGATTTAATTATTTTGCTTAGCTATTTCTATAACAGGCATGTAAATGAACTGAGCAAAATCAAGGAATCATTTTTAACTGATATTATAGAAAAACACAATATATTTGAGTTCGAAGATGAATGTTGGAATGCATTCAACAAAATACTTTATAGCCTAAATATATATAACAAGACAATAATAAATAACTGTTCTACTTTACTGTATGCAACAACTTTAATATATCATATATTAAAAAAGAAAGATTTACCTGATGCTTTACAGCAATACTTAAATTGTGAAATGCAATGGTACTGGATAGAGGGACACATAAAATCACTTTATACAAAACTTAATCTTAGTCAACAACATACTGTTTATCAATACTTACTACATTGGTATACAATAAAACTTCAGTCGATGGATGCGGAAGCCGATGATAAAAAAGTTTCCAAAGATGTACGACGCTATATTGACATGATTCTTAGTATATTAATATTTCACAAAAAAACAAAAGAACAATGTCCAGATGTTGTCATCAAATTCGTGAATCTAGACTGGGATCGGTATAAAAATCATACAATGTTTTACAAAAAACAAGATAAATTCACCAATGATGACGTATTAGTACATCAGTTAAAAAAAGATCCAAGGGTAGTCGCTGACAGATGCGACGAGATTAAAAAAGAAATCCTGGAAGGCAATTATAAATATACAATAAAACGATTCCTAAGAAAACTCAAAATATATTTTTCTGATGATTTGGTTAAGATTTATTTAAATCTTTTCTTAGATATCTTAAAGTCAACGGATCCTGATAAGCTGTATATGTTTACTGTACATACTGTTGTATATGGTATAATCCAATTAGCTGATGAACAAACACTGAACGATTTGATGTTGAAATATACTCCAACGGAGCCAAAAATAGACTACAGTAAAGTAGATTTACTGCTCTTGAATACTCAATCGGCAATTTGTCGTTTTGCATGTTATTCACGTCCTCCCGTTCCCCTTTCAAATATTCGTATGTACATAAAGGGCGATTATGTTAGGTTCTGCTTACCCATGTTCAATTATTACGCATCGAACCTACCCCTATCACAGTGCATGAAATTTATCGAGTCATTACTCGATGCCCCAGTATCAATTCACAAGCACGGCCTACGGCTAGCATTTTTATGCTTCAGCACTGAACAGTTAAAAACTTTAATTGTACATGTTTGGAAAACTACAAAAAATATATCTGTGAGATTTATTTTATACAATGCTTTATTTAATCAAATAGTGAATAGTGATGAAACTAAACAAATGCAGTTATTCCCTGTATTAAAATCGTGTTTTTTGGAATTGAAGGAAGACGACCAAAAATATTTAATAGATGAATATATATATTATATATATTCATCTTTTAACTTATAATAGGCTTCCACATACATTTTTGGGTGAATACGTAGAATGTGCTTGGCAAGCAGTCAACAACTTGTCAATTGATAAAACAATAAATATAGAACGGAAAGAAAATGTTATTGAAAATATTATTAATGAAATTCATTTATTAAAAGCAGATTTTGTCAATTCCATTATTAAAAAACATTTAAATGATATGTTGGTCGAAGGGGGAATTATGACAAAATATACAGATAGTTTACATAGTCTGCATACGAAGATTTGGAAACTTTCTGCAAGTTATATAATTTTTTTTGCTGATCAACAATTAGATGAAAATGTTAAATTAGCGGAGTTCATTATAAAAAAATGCATAAATTTGTGGAGTTTTGTAAACGACGATATCTATACAATACGACAATTTTGTTGTCAATACCTAAACTTTCTTATTGAAAATCGATACGATAACAAAAACTATGAAGATGCAGTTCCTATTTTTGAAAGTATCTCAAAAATTTTACAAGATTCGTTGCCTGTATTCGAAACGTACTTGGCTATATGGGACTTACAACTGACTATTGCCGATAGAATGGTAGTGGAAGCTGGTAAACTAAAATATAACACAACAGAAACAGCTGAAGATAAAGTATTGGTGATAAAAGAAACAGTATTACAATTTGTTAATAGGGTTGGAGATATTATTAAAGACAGAGTTCTCAGTCATACTCACTTCTCTTGTTTCAACAACAAAATTGAATACAGAATTATTTCTACAGTTGAAAGTATTAAAAATAGTCTTGATATTAATTACGAAACTCAAATGGAGGTCGCCGATTTACGTGTGATTATTTCTAAGGGTTTATCAGAGTACACTATGTTTGAAACATATTTACTTGCTATGTATATACTGCCCACTACCAGTTCACGATATTGGAGTGATGATTACGAAGACGTTATAAATAAAATTAAAGAGTCCAATAATTTACAACTAAAAAGTTATTTATATCAGAAATTTGTTAATTCTGATTACAAGAGACGAAAATTCATTATGTGAAAGTAGCTGTTGAATGTATTGTATTATTTGTCTAAAATACTGTATAACATTAAAGTGTAGGAGAATCATTAAGGAATACGAAATGATTTTGATTCGGAATTATCTGATTTATTCCTCAATTGAGATTCGATTCGACTTATTATTTAAGACACTTCATTTTTAATGTTTAGTATTGTTATTGTTCTTAAATTCTAAGCAACGCTACTTGAACAAATATGTCAGAAAATATCAAAATTGTTCACTATTAAAATAAACTCATGTTTAGGTAGATAAGTTACTATTAATGCTTGTTATTGTTTTATTATAAGTATAATAAAGAAGATTGTTTCATTCGCTGTTTTATTTCATAATAATAAATAATTAAATAAATACATAGCAGCTCTGAAAGCAATAGTGATATTTTTTTCCAATTTAAAGAAGATTGCCAGATATAATTAAAACTACTACTACCAAACGAGGGTTCTTGAGTTTTCTTCATGTATAAATGAAACACATTATTATTTTGCGAACTTAATTTATAATCTACTCAAAAATGCAACGTTTATCAATACTCCGTATAAAAAATAATTACATAACAACGAATATTTAATCTGCTACGACACAGCTATTTAGAATGAAGCTACCTATTCATTACGTTTATATCACCACCAACACAAACCACAGTATATAAGTATATTCTCCAAGTACATATAGGATAATGATAGAAGCGGGAAATAGTCTAAAAGGCAATTGTTACAGTAGTTATAATGAAAGTATCACGGACGAAATAGAAGCTCCGCACCGCCTGACAGAGAAATATACTGATGTATGCCTGACTTCAAATATTGGATAACTATTTTGTCGTTCGGGGAAAAAACATAAAATTACTATATATAAATGATATACGCAATCAACCAAGAATTAAACTAAAAACAGTCAATACAACCATGATATATTATTTTCTCTGAAAATACAGTAGTTTCATCCTCTACGTTGTGTTTTGCGAGGTATATAATTTAATCTCATGTATAGTAATGTTTTTCATATAGGAAGTATTTAATGTGTCACAATAAGGAAATTCAATTTATAATTTTCTTCTTGTTATTTAATTTATTCTGCGATAGGCTATACCTTAATATAAACAGTTGATACAATATGTTTTGAACTATTATTATTAAATTATTTTCCAATATCTTTAGGCAGGGCACACCGCGCCTATATATGGATGGTGTAACTTACTGTATTTTTAGAGACTATTCAAATAGCTTAGTATTGATTTTAATTCTAGTTCGCCTTCATATAGTGCTTATACTTTGTAGCATAGATGCCCTAACCTTTTCCGAACGCCAGAAAAAAATATATATAAGTAGGTATAGTCACACGTCACAATGCTAATGTTGCCCATTAAAAAGATATTAATTGTAATAAATAGTAATTTGAATAGATAAATGAAGTCAAATAAGCAGTAGAAAGCATGAAGTACGGAATATATCTATACTAATTCACATTTATACGAATTATATATCATACATTTAAGAGCTGCCTTTTCACTAATTTAGGTATTAAGTAAAGTAAAAAAGTATATAAGAGAAATAACCATTTTCCGTCTCTGCAACCTTCATTTTATTAGGAATTAAACTTTCACTTATTATTGCATCACTTCAAACTGCAGTTTATTTTTTCAAGCTACTCTAATGCTGTTGGCCGCACCTTTACAGCTTCACCGGCCGATAGGGCGAGTTCAGGTGGCACTACAACCCCGTGGAAGGACTTATGGAGCGGCTGAAGGCCAACTTCCGCCTTAAGTCTGACCTCTAGAGGTTCGAACTTCGACTCAGGTCGTTATAATCGTTATCCCCGCTTGAATTGAACGGGCGATCCATCGCCCTCCGATTGTATTGTAATAATACAGTAAAAATCGTATAAGACTAAAAAAAATATAAAATATAGTAATTTAAAAAAAATATACAGCGATATGAGTGTACATAACTTATAAGCGTGGGAAGATCTTGAGAGATGTTCCAGTAAACTTATACACACATAGTAAATCCATACTAATATTATAAATGCGTATGTGTCTATTAACTTTCCTCCCCAAAATTCCTGAACTAACTGATATATATATAGCCTGTATCTAGACAGACAGATACAGGCTATATGTCACATGAAAATAAAAATTGAAGAAATTTGTATGTGGAATTATTCACTTCTCTAGGTTAATCTAGAATATTATTCAGCCTGTACTTAATTTCATATTCATTCAGATATTTAAGCGTGATTCAGTAAAAAGCTAACAAACACACATTTATAATATTAATAGTATTATAAAATGCGATATATTAGAAGGGAAACTATAAATTTAAAGCTTAAATTACATACTCGTAATTTATCTCTTCTTTCCTAAATTCATATTGCACGATAAATAATGTTTGTAACCAAAAATAAAGTAATGGGAAATCAACTTCAAAGATATAAAGTTGAATTCCATAATAAATATTTTATTTTATGGAAGACTTGTGCATTGATTCTTCTATTTCATTTAGCAACCATAGATAATAAGTGTTATTGTAGAGAGATCGTATATGTATAAATAAAATTTTAAATACGCAATTGTTAATTAGCATTTTTAGCTTTTAGATCAATTTAGAGAATTATATTTCAGAATCGTATAATAAATAGTTAAGTCACAATAAAGTTTCTTCTATGTTAGGGAGGCTATTACTAGGAAGTGAGAATCATTAGAGGTAAAATAACATACAATTAGTTCTAATTATGTATATAAACAGGAAACCAGTAGAAAAGTTATTTTTATGTGATATAATACAAAATTTATTGAATTGAAATATTTTTGTAAGATGGGCCATTTTGGCTGCCTGTGGTGCTCTTCGCCTATATACGTAAACGGGTGCCATTTTCCATTTGTAGAGTCATTTACAATGGAGCTTACATAAACATTTCTACCAGTTTCCTTTTTATAATTACTATTTACCTACATTCTTACATAACCCGACCAGGCGATGCAAATTATATATACATCCAATCCAAACAGCAACTCCAAATTATTGTCTGATAATTGCTTTGATTCTACAAAAAGCTTATAAAATAAACATAAATTTAACATTTGCATAAATACTAATGGCACTAACATTGAAAAATTTCATCGAAATATTAAAATACTTAAAAATTCCTACTCCCTTCAACTTACATGTTGTCTCTTTCGCACTTATCACATGACGTCATCCGTCCTTATTTTACGAAATCAGGAGATTAAAATAGCCACTCCTAGAGCGAGACAGGTAACATTAACACATAATAGTCACATAGTTCAGGTCCGCTTATATAAAATAGATCATAATACGCTTTGCATAAAGTAGCTATTTCAACCACCCCAATTCTCCTTTACATTATTTTGTACTAATGAAATTAAGGTTCCTTTTTAGTTAACAATAATTTACCGATTTCTATTACAATGACCCTTATTGCTCGAACAATTAAACCTATAATGCAACCTTACTTTTCTAATAGGAAATAATTACTACCAATTTGTATTTTATTTCTCAACATTATAGTTTATCTTTAAACGAACTCCAAATGTTTCATATCATAGACAATTTTATTTAACAACGTGCTAGCTAAATTAAATCAATAATCGACGACTGGACTTGTAAGATATAACCATAAACAACTCGATTATACGCATATATAATATACTAATTGTCATTTAATACCGTTACATTGGTAGCTAAGATTGAACTGCAACAATAAAAAAAATACATTGTCTATACCTATCTATGTCTATCTATGGTCTAATAGTGTCGTTAACTATATTTGTGTAACATTTAAATCTATTGCTAGACAAAAATTGATGGTAATTCCTTTGAATTGGTATTGGTATGACACAGGGTTGGATGTATTAATCATCGTATTTTTTTCTTACCAAATGAAGACGATATCATACCATAGACAAAACCACTAGATTAATAATAATAACTATTTTACATGACTAAAGTCAAGTCCTTTCTTTTACGTATTTTTTATGCTATTCCTGTTGCAGTTATTCATAACATACAGCTATGACTAGAAACATAATCTAATATTATAAACTCCAATTACTTATAGATAATCATGTGCGTATTTTAATTTTTTTTCATATTAATAGAAGATTATGAAATGTTGCACCTGCTTGCTGTAACGGTTAAAGCCAGCGGGGAACCAGTGTAGGATGATAAGATGAGCATGAGGTCAGGTCAGCACATCGTGACAAATTCAACAGGAATTAAGAGAACTGCTGAATGAATGTTTATAACATATGACGTGAAATTTAATTGTATTCAAAATAACCTAAGGTACCATATGTTATTTTTTTTTCAACAACTAATTATATGAAAAATCCTTAATGTTTTGTCTATAGTACGAATCTTTCGTTTCAAGTACAGTCAGCTTCATGAAGACATCTCTCTTAGTCACATAATGGTCAATAATATATTTACCGTAAACTTTCAAATATATGGGGACTTAGCATACTGCCGTATTTTTCAATGATTATTATTTAGTCCTTGCATAATTTCAACATTTTATAAATATGTACAACAGTATTTAATTAATTATACTGTATATTGTTATTGGATTAATAGTTAATAATATAAAATTGACCATGGTGTCATCTGTATCTGTATGAAACCAAATGCACATGGAAATTTCTAATAATCTAAATGTATTTCACGTAGGACGTAATAATATGGCTTGTGTAAACAATTGACAAATACAGCGTTTAACATGTGTAATTATTCTAATATATACTGAAATGGAATAAAAACAACAGTGTATATATTAACAAGGATTGATCGCCATCTAAGTGAGAATACAAAGACCGTAGATGGAGAATAACGTTTATAGATTTGAAAGCCGACGTAAGTGTAAGCGAGATAGAAGACAACGTCCGTTATCACCTTCTACGAATTAAGCTGATTGACGAATTAGGTCACAAGTTTTATATCGGCTCCAATGTTCTTACAGCACAATCTCCATTTACTTATAGACCGGCTACATATTATCTTTCACCCCCTTCGATATTAAAATGTCCGAAATTTCATAGTTGTATGAAAATAAAATTTAAATTAAAAATGCTGACAATATGTTCCTATTTCGGTGAATTAAATATTATAAGACAGTTTATAACGCAGGACACATTTTAACTGAGTCCTGGCCTAAATTTAGTGTAAACGTTTTATCATACGTTTGTACCTACGAAGTTACATTTTTAATTTTGAATGTAATAATAATAATGTAAGACACATATATGTGAACATATATGTGTCTTAGACCCCTTCGAATTAGACCCAATATTGGATAAAAAAAAGGGGCGATGTTCGCGCCCAGTGGTATGCCTTGGGAGAGGCCCATGTCCAGCAGTGGACTGCAATGGGCTGATGATGATGAATATGCGGCCGGCCTTAAGCTTTCAGTTGTTATTATCCGGCGTTCAATCCCCGTGTCTGTATTTACTAAATGCACCTAATTACGTTTAACATCCTCCACTTGTATAAGTTGCTCTATCGGTATTAGTGACAGTTCACCCCCCAACATAGGTGCTGGTAGACCCTGAAAGCACAAATTAAAATGTTTGTTTACGCAGATTAGGATCAGTGTGTCGGTTTTTTATATAAAATAAAATGTTTTTGTTGCCACCAAAAACATTTACCATACATAATAAAATATGTTTAAAACATTACACTAAATTTTATAACGTCGATCCCGAATCCAATTCAAACGGGGATCGAAATGACGACGGTCGGAGTCGGGTTTCGAATCCCTAGCAGTGCCCTCAGACTAAAGTTGTATCTGTCAGGCAGGAGTTGGCCTTCAACCGGTCCATAAGTTCTTCCGTGGGTTTGGAGTGCAATCTACACTCGCCCTTTATCGTTCAGTAATGTTGTGGACCAGCTACGGACAACAGCATCAGAATAGTTCGAAAAAAAGTAGCTTACTTTGTAATCTATGTATCGGCTCCTATCCTGCAATTTTACCCATTGAATCTGACCCATCAGATCAGATACAACAGTGAAGTACAAGATCCGAATGACACCTTAGTTCGTAGGAGTGGCAACTCATAAAGTCCGTCAGCTTACAAGTTATCTATCAAGTATAATTCATGTACTTAATATAATTCTAATTGAGTGAAATAATATAAAGGTGCATACATACCAGCGTGGCCTTGTCGGGCGTGTGCGGCGTGTGTGCGGGCGCGCGGGACGCCGCCGCCGCCTCGCGCGCGCGCTTCAGGCCCAGAGAGAACACCGCCACCGACCGCACACGCTTCACCAGCGCCGCCTTCGCCCGGGACCGGCCTCCGCGTGCGGACAATACAATACACTATATCAACCGTATGTTACGACGACCGCACACGCTTCACCAGCGCCGCCTTCGCCCGGGACCGGCCTCCGCGTGCGGACAATACAATACACTATATCAACCGTATGTTACGACGACCGCACACGCTTCAACAGCGCCGCCTTCGCCCGGGACCGGCCTCCGCGTGCGGACAATACAATACACTATATCAACCGTATGTTACGACGACCGCACATGCTTATCAGCGCCGCCTTCGTCCGGAACCGGTCTCCACGTGGAGACCACACGTTACAATATATCAAATTTATATTTAAACTTACAGCTGTATGTGAAATTAACTACCTGCCGAGGTTTCAGATTCCTGCTTAACTACCTTCCAGATTTTCCAAAGGTTACATACAAGTTGAATTGTATATACCCTTCTTAAAAACTCCTATAAATATAATAGTCTAGATATGTTATATCCAGTTTGCACTGTAGTTTTATTACCTCAACATTACGTACTCATCTTGATATAGCAACCGTCTTTTACTACTAAACGAAATCACATTTTGATAAAATTACGCTATGTATTTTTGCATTTACTATCTTCAGGTCTAAATTTATTTAGATCCGTTCAACCGCTAATCATGAAAATATAACCAACCAGACAGACAGACAACAGACAAACAAACGTGGTGCATGCTACATTTCTAACATTACGGCTCGATAACTAATATTACAAAAACATTAGTCACTTACCCCCTTTATCCTTGGGTTTATCGTCCTCGCTGGAGGTGGCGCTAGCGTCGATAGAAGGCGAGGCAGACGGTACAGCGTTCAAATCTGGCTCAGAACCGCCAGCGCTCACACTCCCCGACAATTCCTGCAGTTATAATAGACAATTTGTTAAAAATAGTAAAAAAAAATGTATTCAAGTATTTGTATCAGTTGTCTAGTATCCAGATCAGCTTGGGACTAGATGGCGCTGTGTTAATTTTTCTGAGATATTTATTCGACTAGCTAATCGAGTGACTATCTGACAAGATGTCAGATTGTTAGTAAGCCAGTCTTGTTAAATAAAAAAGGGTGTACCTGTAGAGTGGGGTTGACGAGGGGTCGATGGTGTGCCGGCTGTGGGATGCAATGCGCCGAACGATGCAATGGTTCATCCCGCAGTCCTCGTACACCTAGCAGCGACAGTGGTGCCCCGCCCGTCGCTTCCTACACACTCTTTTATTGTTATCACAGAAAAAAGTCTTCAAGTATGGCTGCTTCTTAAGTTAGATTAAGTTATTTTAATTTTATTACTGTTCGATTTTTTTAATTATCCCATCCCAAGTGGTTTTAATCCAGCCACCTGGGGGTTGTTGACGTTTATTTATATACTATTATGTAACTAAAAGTCAACATATTATATTATATATTTTATAACAAAGCAAGCCGCCCCGACTTCGTATGGACGCAGTACAAATCTTTGAATTTCTCGGTTTGTTCTATACACGTTTACCTAATATAAACGAACAGACAGTGGCGGCGACTGTTTTATATTATGTAATAATTTATGTGAAATTACAAAGTAGGTAGCTGACATACATAGTCACGGGTTTCCTTCGAATATCGTTTCGACCTTCGGAATGGCAACACGTGGATTACCACCTGCACCACATTTCATTCAAAAACAGAAAGCAGTTTGTTTTTTGTTATTGGCTCATACTACATTGCGGGTTGACGTAATAGATGTGATATCAACGCCCGTAAGGGACACATGAAACTACTCATAACTCGATTTTAATTAATTTGACGATATATCTGTTTGTTCATGTACGTAGGCTTGATTGCTATTTACTATTAGGTGGGTCATTTACTTGTTTGCTAGTCCAATTACAAAAAAAAAGACTTACCTTACGCCGTATAGGCTTCGTTGGACTCACATCTTGCAAAAGCTGCAAAGAGCCAGTATTCACAACGGGTTCCGTTATAGACGCCGCCTTAGGCCTGGAAATGTCCACGTTCCTATTTTGTAATGCAAGCGAAAGAGAGATAGACAACGTAAGTAAGTATAGGTCAGAAAGAGAAGCATATACACAGTAGAAGTAAAAATGATAGTGCTGCGAAATATCGAAGTGAGGATAGACGTGACTGCAAAATATCGAAATGACAATAAATATGAAAATTACCTTTGACTTCCTTTACTGATGAAATGTTCATTTTATAAAATACATGTAAGTATATTTATTGAACAGTTAATGACTCTCTAAATACACCCTTCATTTTGGCAGTATTATGTATATAACAACACATAAGTCAGTCAGATAAGTCATAACGTTTACTTTTCAACTTAGTTATTACAAAAAATTATAAAGATGTGTGGACTATGGTTGTTAATTGTAGGGTCAAATATTTAAAAGATAAGGTTGTTGGACCCATTATAGGCTATGCTCCTTGTAAGGCCATTAAAAAGGCGACTATTTAATATTTATTCTTTTAGTTTACATACACTTTTTACGTTTGTTTGTTATATTATGACTAGAGATATTATTCACATAATAATGGGATCTGAAATATGTGTAAGTGTTCCACGCTCTAATATGAATTGTACATAAAAAGATACAAAGTTAAGAAAATCAAACTCTTCATACTTTGTTCTTAAATTAAATTATTTTCATTTAATTAAGAAATGATGTTGAATTGTTGATGATGATGAATGTTCACTTTCTAATTAGTAAATAAATAGCCAAATGGATTTAGGTCCTATTTAGTTCACAGATACTAAAGTACAAGTAAAATATAATTATTATTATTTTTTATTATCACACAACATTATAACAGACTATACAATCGAATACTTTTTACGGATTAGAAAAAAACCGCGCGTAAACTTGTTGTATAAACTAGATTAATATAAAATAATCCAAAATGTGTGGATCACACTTTGTGTTAAAACATTTTTTATACTTATAATATAAAAATTATAAAAAAGGAATTGTTTATAAATAGAATTATGAATAAAAAAGCTACAATTAAATATTATTTAAATATTAATTCAACGTTTTTCAAATAAGTCTTATAATATAGTTCAGTATTCAGTCCTCGTCTAGGTGACAGAGATAAAAAAAAGTTTAGACTACATTCGAAGTTACAATAGATGATAAAAACTACAAAACCACAAGAAGAAAATCAAATCAGCAAGTTTAAATACAAGTAACGCAATGAGGGTTGGAAAATACTGTAAAAAAATCTTGTGAGAAACATTTTGGGTCAATGTTGTACAAAATTTATAAGTGGTTAAATTATTATACAACTTTATATTTTTTTACAGATAATTTCTGGTAGGTAATAATATCCCTGGACTATTCAGACACTGCCTGGTGGCAGAAAGGATATCTTACTACGACTACTGAACAACTAATATTTTGGTAATTACAAAAAGAGATATGTATTTATCTCTTTTTATAATTACCAAAATATACATACATATAGAAAGCACTTAGATTAATATATAGAATTATACTCATGAATACAGATGTTTGTCTTGAAAGAATACCCATATGTGATAAGATTTTTTTTCCCTAAATATTATTAATTATAACTTATTGTTTTCGTCTCTCATTGCGTTACCTGCAGCTAAAAAAAACTACAAATATAACTTTAATAAAATTTATTGCAACAAAAAATATAAACATTAAATCAATTTGTTAAAATAAGCAACATCATAATACTGAATTCACGGAATTAGAGGTCATTATAAAATATATAATATGTCATCAACTACACACCCATCCACAATTTTACTTGTGCCAAATTAACTGAAAACAAAAAATAAAAATAAATTAAAACCTATGAACACTGATTTCCTCTCGGATTGGATTTGTGCAATGTTGTTTGTATAAACTGGTTTACAAAATATCCTCATGCTCCAAGGTTGAATATATGTAGATTTTATTGAATTTAGTGTTATTTTGTTTCATTTCAATAACAAATGTTAATTATTTTTACTTAATTCCGCTACAATAACATGTGTGAGATCACAAATATTCAGTACTACCTGTATTAGCGGTTTAATCCGTGTGATATTTATAGCCTATATACATATATGTTATTCTGATATATAAGTTACATTATTGTAAAGTTTTATTAAAATTCTCTCAGTAGTCTTTACGTGAAAGAGTAACAAACATCAATGCATCCCTCCACTTACACAAACTTTCGAAGTTATAATAAACAAGTGAACACTAGGCTTCCAAACTACATCCAAACACTATTCATTGCCTGATGATGCCTCATCAAAAGGCAACACGTATCGTATATGGATGTAGATCCAATAACGGTCGGAATTAATTAATAAATATAATTAATTATCACTAATAGGGGAGGCCATCATAACGCTTCCATTAGCGGTGGTCAGGTTTCCGCATAGAATATTTGTGGTATGCTACTATTAGAATAGCGGAATTAAACAAAATAATATAGATTTTTAAATAATATATGTACATTTCTTATATTTGCGCCCCTAATTTTCTCTCCACATTACATTTTAAACTAGTAGAAAATTTTGCAAAGATTTGAGTACACCACGTTTTTTTTATAATGTTGTATATTTAATTTTTTTTTATTTAAAACTTTAATATACAAATATACGAGTGAAGCGGGCGTCTCAGAGAGATCTTCATCATTATATATATACAGTTATTGTATTTTGACTCTCCTCGTATGTTTGGGACCATAAAGGACTCTCCAACATTAAAACGACTGGACATATTAAAATTCATAAAATCAGCTATAAAAACATCATTGCATTAAAGGGTTTATTATAATCCTTCACAACAACTTAAGAATCTCGTCTCACTCAAAATTATTTAATACGAAAGTAATTTTTTTATGTTATTGAAAAGGCAGACGACGTGCCCCATTCGTTACTATTTCGGAAGACTAAGCTATCATGGCTCTATAACTTTGTCATGTCATTTTTATTATATGTATGGTATAATGATAGGCAATAATTTTGAGTGAGATGAGAAATCGAGGATTCGAACCAACTATAGCATCATGCTATGATATGAACGTAGCGATGGCACATGCAATGATCGCTTGACTTTACTGCCATCTGTCGTTCAGCCAACACGTCGAATAATATTACGTATTTTTTTCTGAGACAATATTAACGTTTGAGCAACATATATTCATACTTATATCTCATTTTTTATTTATAACACAGTAATACTCCGACTTACGTCACCCCTGTTTAAGCGGAATTGGAGATATACGATTTTTCTACGCGAGATATAGATTGCAGTTCAAGCTATTTATGTATATTTTTTTTAAACATAAATACTAAACCGAATAACTTTACATAAATATAAATTCTTTTATTGACCGATGAGTGTATAATTAAAGAGAATAATATGATACGAAACGGTGCAGGCCAACGTTAAGGACCCAAATTTGATTCCAAACTACATTCAAACCGGCGATTTAAGGGTCCTGTTTTTAGTATAATATTTTACGTAACACTGACCTATATTCATAAACTAATATCGTTCAATTAAAGAATAAAATGTACCCCAAGTAAAGCGGTTCTGGTTGTCCCACATATCCCGTAAATCCAGAGTATTATTGTATCCTCATATATAATATATAGTATTTAACATTTTCAACAGTTACTATACATGTCTTATGAGATTTTATGATGCTTGTAACTCGAAGGCTTCTTTTTCATCCTTGTTTTGACTGATTTTTAATTAATCTTGCGGCTGGACTACGATTTGTATAATCAGTACTTAATTACAGTTATTTTTTCTAAAACGAAACATTGAACATCAATCAGCTGATCAATAAAGCAATGAAATATTAAAATTACGCTCGATTTAAAACTGTTATCACTATATTAACATGCAAGTTCTTTGGCGAATATTAAGGTTATCCTTAATATCAATAAAAAAAATCGTGTTTATTCATAGTTTATTGATATATATTTTAAAAATTATTTCATCTGTTTATTTAATTTATGTGTTACTAATTAAATAAACAGTAGATTTTTCCTATCGAATATTTAAAAACTCAGCGGTGGAATCTATCTTTCTATCAATGTCTAATTTTTTCGTATAATTTGGAATAAGATTTTTATTGCTATTTTCTTTTTATAGTATTTCTTTCATTCTTCTATTCTATTCTATTTTATCTACATGCCAACAAATATAGGATGTATGACAAACCTGAAGGGTGGTATTTCTGGTATCTTGCCGATGTTAAGTCGGCGGTGGGTGCGGTCGGCGCGGTCGGCCCCCTTGGGGGTGGTGGGCGTCCGCGTGGGGGTCCGCGCGGGGGTGGCGGGGGTGGCGGGGGCGCGGGACCACACGCGCACGTCGTCCTGGCTCGGGCATTCCGACTGTACCACAAAACTTGATATTACGCCGATCATACTGATCTATTTAATACTATAGGCTGTTTTTTAATATCCAAGACAAATTTGACAATACCTGTGTTGTCATCTTTTGGCATTTTTTTAATAGGGTGGCACTATAGGAAATTAATTTTGATTATAGCTATTTTTATAAGTTACTTAGAAATAATATGTGTGTGTTTAAAACACATTAATGAACATGGGCGATAAATTTATGAAAATTATTATAGGAAAAATTGAAGGAAAGAAAGTAAAGACAAAGTTAGGGTCGTGTCGTATCAACATTTGACAATGATGATTCAAGTGAGAAGAGCTCAACCGTTAAGAACGTGGTTCACAAATTATGAATGTTTAATGAACAGATAATCAAAGTAAAAATATTCTATTTCCAAAATTAAAATAATCCTTTTACCATAAGCGGTGCGTGTGCATTTTTGATTGCTTCCCGTCGTTGGAATTCCACTTTAGCCATCTCGGTAGCAAGCCAGCCGGGAATCTCTGGTATCGCGATACGCAGTGCGAGCACCACTATCAAGATGACATGCTGTAACACAAATATAATACTTAATACATATCTTTATATAAATATTTATTTATTTATATAACTTTAATGTAACTAATTACATATACCACAATAAAAACAGTAACAGAACATTTGACGGACTTAACACCATGCGTATTTTGTACCAGTCAACCGCATGCATTTTCTAATTATTCTAGAATAGATAGATAGATTTCTATAGGTACATTATTTTAAAATAATGCATGACAGAGATCCCTACAAGTTGCTTGAATTGCGTTTAACGACTGCCTTAAATATGACTGACTCGCAAGCAAAATTTGACGCGCCTTCGCGATTTCAATAATAGAGGCTTTGTCGGGGTACATTTTTAGTGTTTAAAGAAAGTTTTTAGTGAGTAGGAGGCACAATGGCCGTTCGTATTTCAGCATCCAGACCTGCCGTTCAGGGCGCAGTACACCAACACCGCCAACAGTAGACTAGGGTAGGGTACAGTACAGTACAGTACAGTAGACGCACCTCGAGAGCCACTATGAGCAGCACGGTGTGCGCGGGCGCGGCGTCGGGCAGCAGGCGGTGCACGGGGCCCGACAGACCGATCAGGGCGCAGTTCACCAACACCGCCACGCCCACCATCGCCTCCATCGCGTGCTGCGTACCCGGGCCAACGGTTACCAACGATACCATATTGCTTGTTAAGTATAGTCTTTATTGCAATTGCTTCTATGGTTGAATTTTATATGTACACATGTTTTCTCAACTTGGGACTATTTAGAATAATAATTGCAGATTTAATCTATTATCTACTTTAGTTCTATTTCTAAATGGTTGTTATATTTAACCTGAACATAAAGATAATCGTAGCCAATTTATAACGCTGTTAAATCAAATCAAGTATATCAGCCACAAAATCAGGTCGTTATGCTGACATACGGCAGTAAAATTACACGGCACGATGTCCTAACATGACATCTTAGTAATACTCTTGTAGGCAACAACATAAATGACATTCTAGTAACTAAAAAATAAAGTAGAAATTTTTGAAGCTATGTTCTAATCGTTGTAGGAAATTATGGTCTAATTTGAAGAGCGGACAGAGTCGTATGTCGTGAAAGTGAGTACCTGCCAGCTGCCGACGCTGGAAACTCGTTCCCCGAAGGGTCTCTGCGCGACGTGGCACAGCTTGAAGGCGTCGGCGCGTACTTCAGCCGCGTTGTTGAGGAGCGCGCACACGCCCGCCAGCGGGAACGCGGACGAGAACAGCACCACGTGGCCCAGCTGCGTCAGCATCTCCAGGTACTCCGCGAATGTTCCCTCGTACTGTCACACAACCCACAACTTTACACGCTCCATAAAAAATACGTTAATACATCAGCCCGACGATTAAGTATCGTCCAAATTATCCCCATTAAAATTGTAATTGTGAATATAATAATAATAACCTTGGCTATTTCACAACAGCGCCATCTAGTTCCAAGCTAAGCGGAACTTGTGTTATATGTACTAAACGACTGATACTAATATAATATACATAGAAAACATCCAGACCAATATAAACAATTATACTTATGAATACAAATATTTATACCGTGCGAGGAATCGCACTCGCGACCTTAAACTCTCGACGAAGATTGATAATGTAATAACTACTAATGGCCTTATTGCTAGTACCCTATTAGGGCTATCTACACGATGAATTCATGATCTCTTGAAAATCCTTATAAATATATTACAGGTGAATTTCACGATGAAACAACTGACTCGAGGCTTCATCATCATCTAATGACTTGAGCACTATATATTTTAAGTGAACTTTTTACAGCATATGATATTTATGCAACTATATACGCTAGCGGGATACCAGTGGAAAATGGTGACCGTGAAGACAAGTTCATTTCTCCCCTCTCCATTGCTTGTACAGAATAAGATTAAGCTATCTTACCTTGAACAGTTGTGACTCCAACTCAGCCTGGTGTATGATTTTCTGGCCCACTATCGGCTCTGAGTCTCTTCGTTCCTCCTTCTCAGCGCTTCCATTAATTAAAGTATTCTCCAGCAATTCCCCTGAGTCTGTTTTCTTTTCGAATAGCTCTGCGAGTTCAGTAGATGTTGGTACTGTAATTATTTTTATAGTTCCATGTTTAATGTTTACTTAGGACCATGAAAACTTTTTTATATCTGGAATATCCCAGTATATGAAAAGCATAATAACAACACAAAAGACATTGGAATATTCATGTACCCCTATTCAAGATAGAAAGACAAAGGTATTTCACTATATTCTTCTAAGTTACACAATGTTACATATTATACAGATTTCTAAATAGAATTAGATTGTTCAATATATTTTATGATAGTACAATATATCCTTAACTTTAGTTAAGGATATATTGGTTGGAGTTCAATTTAGGTCATAGGAAGCATTACTTTTACAAAGTTACTATTCATTAATATTATACATTTAGAAGCCTGTAAATTTTGAATGTCTGTTACTTAAAGTAGCCTAACGGTATGCCGGATTATACAAGATAGTTGATAACTATCATGTATAATCCAATTATTAAACAAATATTATATAATCTTGTATTGTCAATAACGGATGTGATGGCGCAGGATACAGCTAGAAAGTAAATAAATATACGTACTTTTACTTGGACTTATCGCACCAAACACATCAACACATATCTTCGCCAGCCTGAGGTTTTCTATAAGATATGGCAACGCGGATTCCTTCAGATTGCCAATTACTTGTCTCGTTATAAGCAACACGGCTAGTTGCTGAAACAATGTCACATATATATAGATCCTGTTATTATTTATTAAGTAAAATTGAGAATTAGACTATTGGAAAGTATTATTGGATTGAAGAGATTAAGAAAATATCCTATTAATCCAATTAATCTTGAACATTATCTCTCTGTGCAAATCACATTTAAATCTGTCCAACAGAAACAGATTTAAATGTGATTTGCACAGAGAGATAATGTTCAAGATTAATTGGATTAATAGGATATTTTTGGTTTAAAGTAAGTAACTAACCCACAAAGCAAGGCATAATAATGTTAAAAGGCTCGAAGGACCAAAATAAATTAAAATTACAATATATCCTAATTAATAATATTTAATTTTAATTAAATTAGTAATAAATATAATTTAAAGATTATTAGTTTTATACTGAAATGAACGCTTAGACTGTTGTTGCTTTTGTAAATAATAATTTTTTTTTATTTAAGCTAAAAATATAAGCAGGCAAAGTAACTATAGTTACGCCAATCATTTCATTTTTCGTCTGCGCGTTGGAAACTCCTTTGTACAATTTTCATCTTAGAATCAAACTGTTGTCATAGTAAACAATAAGTTAATCAACAAATATACAATAATTGTAGGAATATAGCCAATATATGGCGATGCTGTCTTACCTCCTTCAATTTATCCATATCTTGAAGATAAAACGCAATGTAGAACAAACTCATGAATGAGTTCACGAACTGAAACTGGAATACAAAAAGTAATAGTTAATTTTTCACCTACAATACTTTCGAGTAACAGTAATACCTCACAAATTATTACTTGGACTTTATAAATATCAATTCTACTCTGTGTTTATATGGTTTATATGGTAGTATAAAAGTAGAATGCCTAATTCTTTAATAGACTATAAATAAGTTTCCCATTTTCCCATAATGGGTAAATCTGGATTTGATTTAAAATTTTAGGCAAATACAGAAAACTACATAATTATTTATTTAAAGTATATAGAATATTATTATCTAAGTATTTACTCTGAATTTGTGTTTAGGCCATAATAGCCGCAGATCTTTAAACGAGCTCATATATGGTTTTTTTTTAGAATCATAGAGTTAACTTTACTTTATTGGACTATAAAATTGAAAAAATGTCCTCTCATCTGTGAAGGAGCCACTTATTGGACTCGGACACTATAGCCCCATCTAAGAGAAGTGCTGTAATTGGTCTCACAGATGGGGAGTTACTGTCATTTTGACAGCTAACAGTTGAAAGCTTATAACTCCCAAGTAATATTGTAAAGATTTCTGTTATTACACCTAATATCTAAGATACTATAATGTCAATGAAGATATTTTGTGAGGGGATGATGCGACATTGATATCTATTGTGTTCTTGCTAAAACCGCAAGCATCATTGTAATGCAAAAAATAAAATAAGCTTATTTCTACTGGCAATAGGGTTCAGGATTAATCATTACCCAATATTCCTATTGCATGAGGCTTTAGTACGCTAAATTTCACTTTAATACTATAAAAATGAAGCAAGTCACTAGTTTGCCTTGATTTTATAAAAGCTATTTACTGTAGTACCCAGTGTCAGTTTTGTTATTTAAATATAGGAGGGACCTATATTGAAATACCAAAACTGACAGTATAACGCGCTATTTGATTGTTTTGAAAGAAAACATTATAAATACCATTAATATGTTTTTATTAACTTTGTCAAATTATTTCTATAAATATATATTGACCTACTAATATAAAATATTTGTTATTTAATCATTATCAATACACTACTATGCGATATTATCATAAGATATATTCTTTTCAACTATTTTAAGAAGTGAACAAATATAAATGTCAATAATACCTAATACGTTATGATACGCTTGATAGTAAACGGCATTAATACAAAACAGTAAATTTTGGAAATAACACTTTAATATTTATAATTTTAAAGTTTATTTCCAAAAATTTGGCATTTTTAAGATAATATTAAGAGTGCGTCATATATTCTTAATAAATAGATACAAATATAACTTACTTAATAATTTAAAAATATATTTATTGTAGATACAAATTCTAATAGATATGAGAATAGAAGTGTATTAAGAACATTTTAATGTACTAATTTATAAAAATAAATTTAATTTTTTGTTTTGTTAATACTTCATTTTTATATTGACGTCAGTTCTTTACTACAAGTACTAATACTCGTGTAAATAATAATGTAGCGTGCTTTGTTTAATGTAGTTAAATATTTTTTAAGCACAACATAATCCATGCAAGCTGAAACAAGTGAGAACGCGTGCAATTGCAAATGTTGCTGTGCCGTCCAATAACAAAGTCCGTGTCCATAAATTACCATTTTTTTTAATCTCCATTAATTGTCTATGATAAGCAAAGCGTGACGGAAGCTTAGCTTTTGTATGGCGTTAGTTTTACAGCATTTTAAATACAAACCAATGCTATTTTCACAATCAGGTGATTCTCATATTTTGTCTCGAGACGATAGTTCTCTGTTGGATTTCAAAATGAAATTGTCACGACAGTTGGTTGGATGTTACCAGTTATTATTATATTTTTAACGTGGTCCAGTCCCATTTGGTAAGCAGAAAAGAGAAAATAATAATGCACTATAGTAAATATATAGACTACCTACACTCGAGTGTGTAAACTACATATGTACTAATTAAAAACGGTTCAATATTATTGCCAATAATTAATCTATTTATTATTAAGTTTTAAATATAGATATACACTAAAATTTCAGTGCTAATATTCGACTAGTAGAAGGAAATACAGGGTACAATACTATAGTCATGCAGAAACGCCTAACTATCAAATTAGAATAAATTAGTTAAGAGTATTTCATAAACAAGTCTAATATATATTATTGACACAAAAAACCAAGATACTAAAAAAACACTCGCACTCTACACACGCTTTGTTCGAATACTTTAAATTCTATACAAACTATTTTATTTTATATATTAGATTATGTATAAATAAGAAAATAAATATTCTTGGACATTATTACATTATAATAATATATAATAGTAATAAGGTCCAAAATCGATTAAGTATTTAGATACGGAAAAGATTGATGTTTATATTCTTGCACAAGTTTAGTGTGTAAAGTAAATATATAAAAACAAACGTAAAATTATTGAAACAATAAACTTAAAAACACTATGCAGTGTTCGAGTGCACTTATTAATGTGGGCTATTATTACATGTTTATCACCTTTTTATGTTGTCTAAACTCACAAGAACCCAAACTATTTATATGCGTCGTGAGCCATGTCCACCAGGAATATAAATGTCGGTAGATAATTAAGCGCCGTTTTCTAAACTTTTTTCTGATACTAATCATCATTTTCATAGGCTAAAGCCAAAGTAGAAAAAAGTACACATACCTTTTCTTTATATTATTAATATAATATGATAGAAAAGGCTATTACAACAATTCCGCCAAAACACTAGTGTATTATTACAGTACTCTGGCCCGATAGATTTTTTTTTTATCTTTATAAAACATTCAACATTATTGTGTTTTTTTTTATATTAGTGTAATTCTTGCCAGTACTTATAATAATGATTATGGCGCCACTTTATTATAAATTTTTAGAGATAAATTTAGAAAACTGCGCTATATCATCAATTCTATTATCTAAAAATGTTACTAAATCACATATATTTATAATCCTTGAATTGCATACAAAAATATTATCATCAGCTATTTATATACTTTTTTCAGGGCAATTCACACAGCGCTATCTAGTTCCAAACTAAGTTTTGAGTATTTTTTAAATACATACATATTATAGATAGAAAACATCCAGACCGATACAAACAATCATACTCATGAATAGAAATGCGTATAACGAACGAACTCAAGACCATCGGAGGTAATGCGGTGTGCTAAACCGCTAGACCTCCGAGGTCGTCGACCAAATACGTCATACATGTAACAAAAGCCCACGTTTGTAAAAGACACTGCAACGCAAACTTTTTAGAGAGTAGCGTAAAAAGGAACGTACCTTTATCGTTGAGCCACCTGGCTATTCTTGCATACACCTCCTCCTCAACCCAGATTATGATGGCGAGAAAAGTCCGTGGGATCCAGGTGAGGTATATAACATTGCCCTCCCACCAGTCCTGGTCAAACACCAATTTATTATGAATAATAGTTGTTCGAATATTATCTAACAGCACTATCGGCAGTCGCCAGGCCGTGCCGACTTTCACTTCACCTTGGGCCAACGATGACGCCGCAAGCGTAATTTTATATTCTTCTATACTAAATTCTAACAATTGTAATTTCAATTCTTGAATATAACAGTAGTACAGTTCGCTATTCTACTTTATTCATCATCCTTTATTAGTAAAGGCTTTAACATAATATTTTTATTTATATATATTACAATTATTTTAAAGAGCAACACGCAAGGTTCGTACTCATTCTTCTTGTGAATCAGCTTTTCGAATCAGTAATAGTAATCCAAAGATAAGGCATCATAGCCTATATACCTGTACAGTACCAAGGACACATCATGTGACGCCTCATACATTGCCACTCTGGAGGCTATTATGCCTCCATCCATCCATATAATTTTAGTTCCATATCTCATCAAAATACATAACAAAGCAAACTTAGCGACTGTATTAGCTGAAATGGAGATACTCACGCAGGCGATTTTGTACAAAGTCTACTTCTGATCTGGTTGAGTTAATTTAGTAACATTAAAAAGAGGAGAAAAGAGATGAAAGACAATGAAATTACAGGAGACATGACAGTGGTAATACTGGTGTCACATGATAAAGTGATATCGTCAGTTACATCGCAATTCTTATTCCAATATTCCAATTACATAAAAAGTTTGATTAAGCCAACCTAAAAATACATGACCAACTATTATATCCGAGACATATTGATTTATTTATAAAGTCTTTAATTTGTGATGTACCTGTGCTCGTAAGAATCCGAATGTGGCTGCGGCTGCGACCGTGAGACAGACGAGCATCACCGGCAGCGACACTAGATGGCGCCACATGCGCCTTCGCCACGCCGCGTAATGCGGCTCCGGCCGCCCAGTCACGGGGCTAGTGCCCATCTCGCCCTGCGAATGCCATTCCTCCATTAGCAACCATTACACGTAGGAATAACCTTACACGCCGGAATCGGATTTCACGCAGGAAAGGACGTGTATGAAAATATAGACAAAGAGATCGAGAAAGAACGCGCGGGCAGGCAATGAGCGCATTTCAATCGTAATTGCTTTAGTGACTTTTTAATTACAATAATACTTAATTAATATGGAAAAATGAAAGACATCTGATTACAGTTTGCTCTATAGTCAGATATCCTTCATTTTGCCATAACAATTATAGAATTATTGATATTTATAATTTTTTAATGTGTCTTTGGGATATAAAGTCTGTAGAATAAAGGATTTTAAAGTAGGTGAATCATAAGTATCATACGTGAATAAATGTTCGGGCCGCATAATTAAATTTGTTTGGTCTTCGATGATTAATGAAAACTGTATTAAGTCAGAAATATATGAGTTTACATTTCACGATCATAAACATGACATACGTAACACTTTATCTCGGCTTATATGTAAGCTGCTAGTTTATTTTATACATTATAATTTCACTAGACAAACAGGCCATAATTCAGTATTTTATTTTTTATATACGAGTAAAATATATTTCTTTGGTTTTATACCTGAAAGAGTGGTCTCGGTTCCACTAATAACTCATCTCTCTGATCCAATGTTCCCCATTTGTACGCTAAAACATTTGAATACCTGAAAATAAAAGAAATAAGTTACGTATGGTAATATTATCTTTTTTATTGTATAGGTATCACACATTTGTGCAATAAAAAAATGTAGTCATGCCTATGTCCATTTGTATTAATTTATAATTAAAAAAAATGTGCTTGGATACTAAAGAGCATATACTCTCTAGTATCCAGAGTGAGATACAATTCACAAAATTAATTATTTGTTTTATATCAATATTACATAATATATATAATATAATATAAATAAATTAACAAACCTTTTCCAAGTTTCTAAATACACGCAGGCCCATAACACGTTGAAAAGTGAGAACAATACATAGGCTATATCCTTCCAGTTGTCATTTGCTGTGCCCAACCAAATCTACAAACATAAAAAGAAATTACTTCAGCATCTTGTTGAAACATATTTTTTATGAAGCTACAATGGAAAAACAAGAATTGCCAGTTCTCAGAATTTACCAGAGGTTGGGTACACCCATGTAGACGATTTTTTACATAAAATAGTCTGCATAGGTACCTCTGTCTCACCTACTTCAATTTTCAGTTTGCTTTAAAAGCTATTTCGGTTGTAGAGTGCAGCTTAGGCCTTGAAATTACTGGATAAGAGGCATGACATCTTAGTTCTATGAAATGGCAATGCATGTTCATCAATAAGATGGTTGATTGATAGATGATTTTATACAGTTCTTCCCTCGTCTGTAATTTCAATTGCAAAATTGCAATACAAATTTATTAAGTACAAAATTACATTCCCTATAATCCAGTGAAATTGTAAAGGAAATCGGTGGCCAACAGCATTAGAGTAGTACGAAAAAAAATATATATTCCAAAAATTTACTTAATGTTAAATTGCAAGCAAATAATTGAATAAAACATACCCAAAATAGAAAACCAACAGCTGCTGGTACCGTCAGTGACTGGGTATAATGTCCAAGCCAAGCGAAATACATCGCAATTTTAACACCAAAATATTCACTTATTTCATCTGAAATTCAATCATAACTTCATCATTCAACAACATTCAGTCAAAGACATTCAAAATTATTTACGAACATATTTCACACTTATTACAATACTGCAATAACTCAAGAATAACAAACTTTTGGACTCCACTGTAAATATTTAACTTTAAAGTCCAATTTGAAAATTTGTACTCTACTGGGTGTTATTTTTTAAACTATAAGATATATGTAGGCTAAAGAAATAAGTCGAAAGAACTCTATACGAAAAAACAAATTGTTTCGTTAATAAACAACATTTAATGAAATTAGCAGCTATACTTTTAGCTGTATGCATTCTGGATGATGAAAAAACAAGTACTGCTTTTTAATATAAGACTGTAAAAAGTCTTACGTGACTATAGTACAAATATTTTAAACGTAAAAGTGTGTCTGTTCGTTTTTTTACGAATAAACAGTTAAATGGAATTTTAGAAAATTTCACGAGACGAATATTGTATATCAGGGACGATCGTAGTCATAGGCTTTTTTTGAGACATTAGTTTGTATATCAAGAACGATGATAGCCTTATCTATCATCTCAAAAAACGCAGAGAAAGTTATAACAGCTTGTTAAAATATGTATTTGAAATGTTACTTATTAAGAAGTAAATATTTTGTATTAATAAAAAATAATACATACGTACCTAAAGGCTGTGGGGAGAATAACGTTTTCACCCACTTTTTCCTGAGGCTTTCGAGAGCGTTTCTCTCGTGAAGAGGGAACATACTGGCTACGACACCTCTACTCACACACGCCGGGACTGCAGATAAAAATATAATTATATTAGCTGGCCCGGCAAAATTAATAACGCTATAAAAAAATAGGGGTTGATGATAGAAGGGTGAAAATTTAGGACTGTATGTATTTTTGTATGTTGTATCATAAAAAAAAAAAAACTAAAAATTTTGTCTAAAAAATAAAAAACAAAATTTAGGGGTGGACTACCCCTAACATTTAGGGGGATGAAAATAGATATTGGCCGATTCTCAGACCTACTCAATACGTTCACAAAATTTCATGAGAATCGGTCAAGCCGTTTCGGAGGAATATGGGAACGAAAACTGTGACACGAGAATTTTATACATAAGATTAATATGTGAAGACAAAACTTTGTACCCCTTTTTTACGAAAATTGTGCACACTTGTAGTTTATATAAATTTAGCAGTATAATATTTTTTTAAACTATGCATAAATATACATTAAATCGTTAAAAAAACATACTCACACGCATATTTACTCTTATTACGCCATATATAATAACATTAAGTACAGGGTGTATATGACTTTTTAGTCTTCTGGAATGCCAACACATGAGGAATATATACTCGTAGAGTTCCTTAGTAAACAAATAAAGAATTAAATGGGGCTATAATAATAATACCAATGCTTTGTCCAGGCCGGAGTGTTAACGCAGGTTCGAGTGCATGCTCATCGCCGGGCTCGGCGCGAGCTGACTCCAACACATGTTTGACGAGTGCTCCCCGCTCTTGAGAGTTTAACAGTTCCGATGCGGACGTACCCTAGGACAGAGGAATAAAACTTTTTAAATATTGCATGAGACACGCCCTAGCTTAGCATATGTGCAATTATTATAGGAATTTTTAAAAACTTTGGAAACGTTTTTTCCTCGACTGGCAACATTACCGATAACTGTCTTTGTCAGCTGGCCCTAATAATTAAATACTTTTATCTAATTTATTACTCAATTTTTTTAGTGTATTTGATATAATTAGTGAGTTTAAGCTATAAAAAGTATCGATTGTTGTTTGTGTTCATTTTTATATAGTATTTGTGTACAAAAATCGACACATAAATATTTCTTACCGGTCAACTGTCAAAGTGTGACGGTTCACCTATACCCATAAGTATATTATAAATATTTAGTTCAAAAATTGTATTAGATTTTAAAAACAATTCATTTTAGGACTTTAATTCACTAACTAAACATTGATTTAATTTCTATAAACTAGATTATTTAAAAAATAAAATAATTATAAATAGAAACATCATATTCAAGGGGGAAGGAACAAGTTAGTTGGTGAGTCTTCCACTTGAGGCTTGGCGTGTGGATGGAGCCAGTCTCCTCTGCCCCTTTGGGGGCCCTCTTAATTATTAAATCCATAATGATTTCACTTTAAATTATTTACTGTATAATTATTATTCATAACATATACTTTGTATCATAATTTGTATTATCGAGACATGTATTTATCTCGTAGTTATTACTCCGTCATATACCAATCAAAGAATCTATAGTTACTACACATACACAACAGGTCCTCCGATACTAGACGATCACATATTATTATTTATATGGCCAAATGATTGAGTGTTCTCGTTTCTGATCTATATATTTAAATAATTATTATATTATCCAATTAATTAGAAGAAGAGGTTAAAATATTATCCAAAAATTTTATTACGGAAAGGGGCGATCGTTACAAAAGTTCGTAATAAACTTATATTTACATCAATCTTGTAGATTCAAAAATCACGTTGGACAATAAACCTATTAATTTTGTGGATGATACTGTATTTATAGGTATCACATTAGATTCCAAGTTGCAATAGGGTGCTCATATTACTAAATTAGCGAGTCGACTTCGTTCTGCCGCTTATGCGGTAAGAAGAATTAGACAATTAACAGACGTGGCAACGGCTAAACTTGTGTACTTTAGCTATTTCCATAGCATTATGTCGTATGGTATTTTGTTATGGGGCAAAGCAGCTGATATAAATACAATATTTATTTTACAAAAGAGGGCCATTCGCTCCATTTATAGCATGGGTTCCAGGGAGTCTTTGCGAGAGTGCTTTAAGGAATCAAATATCCTCACCGTTGCTTCTCAATATATTTATGAAAATATCATGTATGCCAGGAAGAATATAGACAGTTTCAAAAGAGTTAGTGATTGCACTAATAAAAGCTTACGTAACAATAACAAACTGATTTTACCTAAATGTCGTTTGGCTAAAGTTAGTAATTCGTTTTATGGCAATTGCGTAAGGTTTTACAATAAAATACCAGAGTCTGTTATAAATCTGCCAGAAAAAAGATTTAAATGTCAAATAAAACACTTCCTTTGCAAAAAAGCTTACTATAAAATTGAAGAATTCATTAACGATAATAATGTTTTTGTAGAAAAATTTTAAATACATAGCACTGACAATATTATCTGATTACACTAATAATGAGTGCGTAGCGATTTCTATGTTGATTGTCGCATGCCTCTTACTTGTTACACTGTAATTATTTATATAAAAAATATCTATTAAAAAGAGCAACACACAAGTTTCTTGCTCATTCTTCTTGTGATGAATCTGCATTCCGAATGAGTGGTAGAATCAAAATATGACTATTCAAAAGTGCTTGTAATGAGTTTATTTGAATAAAGATTATTTCTATTTCTATTTCTAGAATCTAAAATTATCTATACAAATAAATATTTATTTATTTACATAAATAAATAATTATAAAGAAATAAAAAAATCTAATTCCACGCGGACGAAACAGTTAGTTTGTAAATAAAATAAACCATATTATGCCTAATTGTATCTTTTTATAAGTGACATACCTAATTTTTCAATCTGTCCGGGCGGTTCTTTAGAGTTTATAGATCACAAAGAAACAATACATAAATTCTAATTTAAAAGAAAAATATAAAATATTTCCTTTAGTTTAGACATATACGTCATAGAGATGAATGAAACTATAAAAAAGTTTTGCCTTTCAAAATTGTGATCATTTGAACATCGAGGACAACGCAAATGTAGCGTATTATAATGTTCCCGAGTTAAATGTAGTGGGTTTTACAAATTAGAGTCTACCAAAAATATAGTGCGTTCATCCTCTTTGGGACATTTATTTTAAGAGCTTTGGTAATGATATCATTATGGAGGCTTTTATTATAATGACCTCCTCGTGGAGTCTCGTGGAAACTGTCTACTGCCGTACATGTTACCTCGATATATAAACAATTGAAAAATTTCTTCCAATTTTAAAATCATTCTTCTTATTTTATCCTTCTTCTGATTTGAAAATAATTAGAGCAGTCAGGTAAAGTTAAATCTACCAGAAAGGTAGATTTAACTTATCATAAATGTAAATACTTAAAACTGACTTTGTAAATAACAATGAGTTGTTATAATTAGTATTATTTTTAAAACTTAATCTTTACAAGTATGTACGGCGTGTTATTCAGTGCGACGCAATACGCTGGGATGAAAGCACCGCACTCACTCTAAAGAAGACTTCCGGATGAAGTTGAAACAATAGCAGCGAAAGACATAAGCATTGTTAGTTCAATAAGTTCCCGTATAGTTACATAAAATATTAGGGTTCTTATCCACATAAGAACCCTAATATTTTTTATACAAACGATATCATATGATTTATTTTCTCGAATTAAGTGTTATTTTGCGTAAGTCCATTTCATTACTTAATGAGTTTATATTACTTAGTCGTATTGTGCTGCCACTACTATGGCGCGCCCGTACCTAAAGTGTTCCAACCTCCTCTATTGGTGATCAAATTCCGACCGTTATTGAGCAATATGAATGTAGACTCCACAACGCTCGGAATTTGATCACCAAGAGACGGCAGTTAGGTTTCCGCACTGAATACTTGTGGTCTCACTCATGCTAATTTTAGCGAAATTCATCACATTTTAATAATATTATAAACACGAAAGTGCGTAAGTATGGATATTTATTACTCTTTCACGCAATAACTACTGAACGGATTTGATGAAACTTTATAGTAATATAGCTTATTAAAATTTAACGCGGGTGAAACCGCGGGCACAGCTTGTAATAATATAGATCCATGAAGAAATACTATAGTGTGTTGATTAAATAGAACGATAGAAAAGATTCTGTACTATTTAAAATGATATCGAATCCGATCGTTATTTTGTTGATTTGTCCTTTAAGTAAAAATAAGCCAATAATCGAGTGCGTGCATCACTCGTAGGCACGCAATCATTTCCTTGGCTAGTTCTCAATTGGTAGTTATTTCCGTTGTTTTCATGTAAGGTAAAAATGCGCAGAATTTAATTTTATTTCAATTACAATGTTTCTATGTAGGAATTTAATATTGTAATCAATTCTAAAATCTAAATAATATATTCAATCAAGCTACTCGCCCCGGCTTCGCATAGGTGTACATATATTATATATATAGTATAAACATTCCTCTTAAATCACTCTATCCATTAAAAATACCGCATCAATCCGTTGCGTAGTTTTAAAGATTTAAGCATACATAGAGACGGACAGACAGCAATAGTAACTTTGTTTTATACTATGTAATAATGATAATACAAAAGATATTGAGATTTGAAAGCAAAAGAAACAATTTTGTTACATTACTTTTAAGCTCATGTATCATACATGGCATTTGAAGACATGTCACAAACTAGACAAAATTTAATTCTCTTGATTAGCATAAATAAGAAATTATAAAAAAAATATAGTTTATTTACGGGCAGCGGGCCATATCAGCCAGTCTCATCACCGATTGTAAACCGTGTTCTAACAAAGTCGACTATGTGCAAGTAGCATGTGGACGTTGCAATAAATGGTTACTCAAATCGCTTCTTTTAAATACCAATATAATTCTAGTATTATAAAATTATAATCGGTATGTAAATTAAGTTAACAGTAACAGTAGTTATCTTTACGACTGTTATCCTAGTTGAGGAGTAGTAAAACCAATGTCAAACTATCTGTCGTGGTTTAGTTAACTTTACTCATACTTTGGTATATTTAAATCTAACATTCTATACATCTTCATTCTTTAGTCTTCAGAACTAATTATTAGTACTAAAAATTGCTCTTAATCCTTCCTCGTTCTTAACTCTCCCGAATACATAACAGTCCCGAATAATGTATTTACCCAATGCAGCTGCATAATTTTGTACCTATAGTTTTCTTAATTGTACCTATATTATAAAAATCTATTATAAAAGCGCCAGTCTGCCGCAGTCTCTCTTAATTTGTGGTATATTTGAATTCCACATGCAGACGGGGAGCCTACCGCAGTCTCGGATTAATTTGGTTTGTTATTCGTGTTTCAATTATTGCAAAGATATAATGTTTAACTTTAACTTATGACCTTCCGTTATAATTCGGTGTATGGTAGCTTTGTTTCGTGACCGCGCTTCATTATAAACAGTACAGACTATAAAATTGTTATAGGCCTCATAAGAGAATTTGTTTCCTAAACGTAAAAATATGTAAACTAAATGAAGAACTAAATTTAGGCTTCTGTCATAACATTCAAATTCGTCGTGTATTATATGTAACGTACATCTTTTAGGAAGGATTGTTTCTAACTAGGCTGATGGTCTTTAATCTAACATAAATGTAGTAATATAAATAAATACCTTTTGGAAACAATGCATGTCGCGTACAGTGAACTCCTTGTAACCACCGCCAAACTCCGGCTTCAGTAACTTCGGGAGGTGGACTTCCTCAGCAGTTTGTAAAAGCCTGTTTAGACAATAATAATATCAAGATTTTTCGCTATAGATTCAACAAATAATAAAATAAAAAAACATATTTCAAGCAATCGTAATAAAATTCAGCACAACAGTCACACTGACAAAGTCAAGAATTTATGTTCTTTGGCATTCCATGGATTCGCCGTGCCCCGGGTCCGTCGTGTGGTAGAGAGGGATCCTGCGAGCAGTTCCCGGATGTAGGTTAAAAGGGCCCCTTTGCCGACGTACGTCAACACTCACCTTCACCGCTCGTGTATCGAACCAAATCTGTTAGAAGCCCGCTAATACATACAACATAAGTATGTTTGTTTGTTTTTCTAATCGTCTTAATATCTTGACAAATAATGGGGAAAGAAATGTGGACTGATGATCTCATTGCTAGCAATGTACCAGGTTGACCTCCATGTGGTTGCCCCTGGAAACGATCGTGAAAGATTCCTGGTGAACTTGTCACGATGGGCAAACTGACCTGACCTCGTGTTAATTTTATCATCCTCCACTGGTGCCCCGCCAGGGTAAACCGTTAACGCAGGCGGGTGCATCATACCATAATCAAAACTCAACATATGTATGAAATTTCACAATAAATTCAGTTCGAAATATTGGTCAATCCTGGTTAAGTAAATGATGTCATCGAAAATTACGTTAAGTAAAGTACAGTGGAGGATACGATTTGAGTCTTATGGTAAAATCATTCGATAGGACTCTCTATTAATGTAAAAAAGCTTTAAGTTGCAGTTTCTTAAAATAATTAAAACACATTTGTAATAAATATAAGGAGTATTTACACATCATCATCAGCAGTTATGTAGAAGGCGGAGCATTGTGACGACGAATGATGTCTAACACACACACGCAGCCGTGGTCGACTGCTTCGAAGTTTCTGCAGTAACCATAGTAACATGCTGTCGGGAAGCCCTGTTCAACAAAAACAGTGTAATTAAATAATAACTCAAGACAATTCACACAGCGTTATTTAGTCCTAACCTTGTGTTATAGGTAGGTATACTAGACATCTGACACAAATACTTACATGTATATATTTTGTAAATACATAATACACATAGAATACTGTTTGAACCGTGCGAGTAATCGAACCCGCGACCATCGGAAGTAAAGTGGTATGCTAAACCGCTAAACCACTGAGGCCAATTAATCAAAGCCAATAGCCGTCCTAGTTTCGAGTTTACAAATTCGTCTACTCGCTAGCAATCGCGTGAAATATTGTGATTCAAACAAATGCATAGATATGACCGTTTTCATGGGGTGCCAGGCGGTGCACTTGCACCTTTTTACTTTGCAGACCCGAACATGGTAGGTAAATATTCAAACTGTAAACTCTTTGTCGTATACAACATATTAAAGACCTGTTTCCTTATTTTCATTTTAATATATAATAGTTTAAAGTCGGCCTTTTTGACATTTTCTTCCGAGTCTAAACCCTAAAAGAATTTTAATGTGGATGTATCGAAACTTATTAATTATAGATATAATTCTACAAAAATACGCTATAAATCATGATCAAATTTATGCATAGTTATTTGTAATATGCTATGCCATTGATTGCAAAAATCAATATTAAAATTAGATTAAACATAGCGCGATATATTTACAAAACTATACTCATCCTTTTCGAAGTTATAAGAAAAAGATAAACAGAACTAGACAGAGAAATGGGGTTGATTTACGCAGCGAAAGCAAGGGAAGATGAAGGTAAGATGTGTAAACAAACAAACAAACTCACTTCCCCGATTATTTATAATACAAGTATTCACACCAGTAAAGTTGCAAAGAACGTATTCAAAAAGACATTACTTTCAGTAAAAGAGCTACTTAACACAAATTGATCTAAAATATAGCGCCAGGAAATCAGCCATTAGAGACTATTGAATGTGATTTTCCTTTTCCCATTGTTATGAAAGCATTGTGTTCAGTACAATAAACTCATGAATTTATATGTGTTAGCAAAGTTCCGACCCAAACAAGACATAACGATATGGACAATTGCCAATGTCTAAATGCTTAAAGCGTTTACAGACGTACCAAACAGAAGCAGCGATATTGGAAAATGGGAAGCTCCCTAAGTCGCCTCGAGTGTTTTTGGGTGTTATACCTGGTACCTAATTAATGAGGGACTTACGGTCCCCCCCCCCCCCTTCCCTGGAAACCATGGTTAATTACCTGATCTATTCGTCTAACTGACCTGACTAACACTGATGCACAGCATGTGTACACCATCGGTGCTGGCGGGTGAAACATTATGATCCATTTAAAAAATACCTTGATATCTTAATGAAGTTTTTCAACAAGTTAAAAAAAAGTCTACGCTATTGGTGCCTATTTTTTTTATAGCATAGAGGATTTTGTGGCTCCCGTGATGATGTGAGCACCCGCAACCAAGGGTATTGCCAGTGATTACTCCAACACCTATACTGACACCGATTTTAGGGCAGTGTGTATAAATGCTTTTATACTTACGATGTCAATACACTGGGGAGAAAATAAGCTACATATACTATGTAATGTAATAAATAAATAACTGTAATATGTAGGTCAAAAATTAAACGTATAAGTAACATAACTTCTTTAGAGAATCACATTTTGAATTTATTTTCAATGATTTTTGCCTTTAACGGATTAAATTAGAGATATTTTTCGAATTACTCTAATGCTCGGTCGCAGCTGGCGTTTACAGCTTCACCGAACGATCGAAGGCAGACCCGCGGAATGACTTATGGAGCGGCTGAAACCCAACTCCTGCCTGACAGATACGACTTTGGTCTGATGGCACCAAAGTCGTATCCGTCAGGCAGGGTAAGGGGTTCGAACTCGGCTCAGCCCATCTTTATTTCTATCCCCATTTGAACTGAATAGTAAATCAATCGGAATGAAAAATCAGGACCAGCGCATCATAATACATATATTTACTATAATTACGCGTTGCGTAATAATAATAAAATACAATCACCCACCTCTCGTCTCAAATTACATTCTAGTGGCCCTTGGTATCGTCTGTTAAAATATTTAACCAACTCCCAACTTCTATAACAACTTTAAATAAGAATAGCCTATTTATAAAATACTTAAAGGATTTACTATGTAAAAAACAATATTATAATGTAAGTGATTATTTGAATGATGTATTTTAGTTTTTATGTAACATTTAATTAATGTATATAACTGGATGAATAATATTAAATTATATGTTATAACTAGTTATGATAATAGTAATAATAATGTTATGTTTGCGTGCCCTAACAGGGTCCATAATGATCGAAAACGAATTATAAACATCTTTCATTGTAATATTATGGAATGCAATAAATATTGAGTATTGAGTATTTAAAAAAATATGGCAAACAGGCTGACGGCCAACTGATGGTGAGCGGCCATCGCCTTTATACATTAAGCGCAATGGACATCAAAGTATCATGTAACCCCTGTGATACCAATCATGCCTTGCCTACTACTTTCTTCATGAATTCCGATTCTTATTATAGCCAAAATTGTAACCTTTCTAACTTCAATTATGATTCCGATTTGTAGAAGCCACAGAAAAATTAAGCTATTCCACTTTGTGTAAATTGGCCTTCAGAAACAACTGTAGCCTGTCATTGGATGCTTTGGTAGGTTACTATAAAGGTTTATAGATTTGCCTTAGTAGAGAATACTACTATTATAAATATATATTACTACTATAGCATTTATAAAAGAAAATGTATTTGAGTATTTCTATCAGTTATTTAGTATACATAGTACAAGCTTTGCTTAGTCTGAGCCTAGATGCTGCTATGTGAATTGTCCTGGGTTATTATTATTATTATACATAAATTATAAAACAAATATTTACCTTTAGGGAATATCAACACAACATCTGTGTGTTGTGTTGGAGTGGAGTGCAGAAGCAAGCGTCTTGGATGCATCAAGTGAGCCCCAAGCTGTCCAGCCATTGGGAGCCGCCTGCGAAGCTCTCGTCCCGCTAAGATAGTTAGTAGCATTTAATGATGTAGTACATATTAATGAAATTAAATTATAAATATAATAAAATCCTTAACAGACTGCTGATAAATTGACAGGAATGTTTATGATCTTGTGTTTTTAATTATATTAAAACAATAAAATAAGGTAGTTTTAATTCAGTTGAACTTTGCTTACAATATAGACTTACAATGTAGTAGTGTGGTCAAATTAGACAAAAAATTTAAGTGAGAGTGAAACTATATAAATTTATATACATAACATAAAAAAATACACACATAGGTAAATTACAAGCTGAAAATTGTTTAAAATAATATTATAAATAAAATTTCAAAGTTCCCCATCTGACCCTTATAGGGAAAAAAAATTATTCAAGATCAAAGCTAAATAAAAATAGTTTTTCGTAAGTTTCATCATAACAATACCCCCAACAAAAATTGTAGATCATAAAATTATCTATAAAATATGTATCAATACTTTTTTTCTTAAGCCTATAGTGGCAGGCTAAACAATAACTGTCAAATTTGTGATTTCTTACAACTATAAATATTATTTACCAATTTTACCTATATAACAAAGATATTCAGTTATTTTTATTGTATAGGCAGCAGTATATTTTTAGGTAATAGTTTTTAAACAGTTTGGTCATTAAGTAACTTTTTTACACACAATTACTTATGAAATGAAGTTTCTTTATTTGTCATAAAAGTGGTGTGGTTATTGAAATTGAATCTAATTTTCACTTTTAGTATTTACAGAGATGCATATAAATTAACCTGATTTTAAAATACATTCAACTTTAAAAAAAAATATCAAAATTTAAAAATTCTAATATCTTTATTCCTGTAGGACTATTACAGACTCTTATATGTCAAATCTACCATCAGTTCAGAATGATTTCGTGATGAGAAGAACTGAAAAGAAACTCAGTTGTATTCTTTTCAAATAAATGTTGGACATGCTTACAATAATACAAATTCATTATAATACAAAATCATTAATACAAAATCATCATATCTAAATTTAAATTTCGGAGTATAGGGTGACCACCAGCATATGCTATTGCAAAAGCAAATAGTCTAATCAGTGTTTGTAACCCGTACAGACCAGTCCCCACACAAGCTACACCCGGTCATGAATATGACAGACTTCTTTCATATTTCAAATAACATGTATATATAATAATTATTAATTATTATTACCAATAATACAATTTACATATGAAATTACTTATTATTAAATAATGGAGAATATTCATTACAAATGTTAAAGATATGTCAAGTGACTATTGTCCATATTTTAAATTTATAAACAAAATAATTCTTTTTAATTACTTTAAGGATACCCTGACCTCAACTGCAGTTAAAATTAATATAAGAATACTGGTCTCCACAAAAAAGTTAACATTTACTTACCGCTGTCTAATTTATCTTTCGCAAATTCCGCGAAAGATTTGTGCTCTTGAGGCGTAGAATGGGAACTACTCTCATAATCATCTTTATCATTATTTACCATACTGCCTTCTTCACCCTCCATTACGAAAATATTAAGCACCCAAAAATAACAACAATGCAAGATCACAAAGCCTTAATAGAACCTTAGGTTTCTTACATCATCGACCACATTAGAAAAAAGAAAACAAACGCGATAACACTGTAAATATATACTATTCTCGTAACAACAAATCTACGACGGCTAACCAATAGTTTATTTACACTTCGAGTAATAAAATATTGTTGTAACCACTGTTTATTTACTTAATTATATGAAATAATGTTCATAACAAATTCTGAGACTCGAATGAGACAAAAAAAGACGGAAACGGAAAATACACATACAGCTGTCAAAATTTAAAATTGATTTTTGGGCGCCATATTTTTAAGCAAATGTTGCTAGTTCAATATTTCTTATTTTGTGAATATGTGTTACTTACATAGTTAGAAATAACACAACATAAAACTAAAGTGAAATTATAATATATATTTTTCACTTTACAAATCAGAGATAAATTATTCGTGTAATGTTTTTGTTATCAACACTCCATATGATATCCGAACTCAACTACTGTACAAGAATTGCCAGAAAGTATAATCAAATACAAGAACTGTACAATTTAGTCATAGTCCTGAGAACATCCTTGCTGTCTATTAATTAATATAAAGGAGTCACTTTATCAAATTTCTAATTTAAAACGCTTATAAAAAAAACTGTATTTTGTTTTTCATTTCTGGAATAATAATAATATTTTTTTATACACTACTTTATATGACACTACATAGTGATTAATAAAAAGATTCTGCGGGCTAACATATATACATCTTATCTAATAAAATACGATGAAGTTATTTGTAGAATCCGTTAGAACTTAACAGTGGTACAGGTCTGCCTCTAGTTACTTTTAATGAAATTAATAATTATCATTTCTAATTTACTATTTTATATAAATACATATTATGTGATTATAATAGCATAATTTGACAATCAATGTATCTACATTACAGAACTTATCTCAGTTCGATTACATAATTTTAGTTACATCTGAATTCAGCTTTTCAATAAAACTGTTCAGAGGAGAATATTACTAATAACATACTATTTTGCAGTAAGCAATAATATTATGATACAAAATAAGTTGGTTCTACTGGCAACCTTGAATCAAATTTCGTTATTATTTTCCCCGATACGATAGTCATTTAATGTAGTGACAAAGAACGTTTAAATTAAAAATCGTATCGCACTTTCTCTTATTAATGAAGAAGTGTCGCAAATAGTCTTTTGACTTCCTTGCAGGGGAGAAAAAAGATTGAACACATCAATACAGCCCATGGTAAGTTGAAATATCATTTGACCTTTCTTTGTACTGTATTCGTCGCAATAACACATATTTTGCTTTAGATCTATATTTTTTGCACAAATCGATTTAGAATTATTCAAAATAGCTTTAATACTAAGAAGGTTGAATTACAAACATAGTTTCATTTCGTTTTAAACAATCTGAACACTTTAACCCACTTTCTGATTAAAAAAAATACTAATAGAGTAACAGCTGTTTTTTCGTCACACCTAAAATCAATCGATCAGCTGTTTTTTTATAGGTTTTTGATACATCAATATTTATAAAGAAATCTTGTGAATCTTAATATTATAAGTAGTAATTTTATTACCCAATAGATTATTTTTCGTTTCGTATTTTATAGGTAGGTGAAATTTTTTTAATTAATATGCATTAGTTTGGTGATGTGACATTTTTCGTTTCCTTTCATGATTTAAATTTGAAAATTATGTTGAATTAAATTACCTGGTTAAATCAAACTAAAGCTGCTCTTAAAAGTATGTGATTAAATATTTCTTCTCTCATTTTGATTATGTAATTTTATTAAAATTGTTCAGTGGATGTTATAAATGTGCAAAAGAAACTGTAAATATACTTATTGGACAGTACAGTTGCTACACACTAAGAGCAAATAAATACATTTTAATAAAATAGTAAAGTAAAAGTGAGTCCAAATGTTAAAACTAATATTGATTAATGTAAAAGGTGGACATATGGGCCAACTCTGGATACAAGGCCATTCCATTAGTAATGCTGATAATTACCTATTATTCAAGCCAGGGGTAAGATGATAAACTTCTTATCTCTTGATATGGAGTAAAAATGAATCTGAAGGGTCTGAAATAGGAATTCAGGCAACATTATTTGTGTGCATTTAGACATATGTTTCGAATATTGCATTAAAGTTCTGGATTTAGTATTCAATTCAAAATTCAAAATTATTTCAATGGCTATAAAGATTTAAAAGGAGGTAATATTATAATTACTAATTATGGTTCCTTATTTTTTTTTCAATTAAATAAATATGTGAATATCATTTTTACACTTTCTCTGAATCTTACAGTGCCAATAAATTTTATTAAAACATGTTCTGTAAGAATATTGCTTATAGCAAGAAGGATATATTGATGGTGAAACAAAACTATAGAAGAAATAATATTTTTTTTATTTAGTTTGCTTTCATGTTACACCTATTACACACTTAAATAAAGATAAAGAAGCCTTTATTTCTGTACATACATTTTTTTTTTTTTTTTATATTTCTGTTCATTCATATTACTATATTATACTATAAATTTATTATTATTATATGTATTTTTTACTATTATTTTTTGTTGAGTAGTTTAATTTTTTTTTTTTTCTAATGTTTAATTATTAGTTCCATTTTCTATATTATATCCCGCAGTACAGAGTGCCTTATGGCAAAGGCCTCCTCTAATTCCTTCCAGTGTACTCTATTTTGGGCTGCTCTTCTCCAGTAGGGGCCTGCTGTCAGCTTGATTTCATCCTCCCAGCGTCTCTGTGGTCTACCTCTTTTTCTTTTTGTTTCCCTTGGATACCATTCAGTTACATAAGTACTCCATTTTTCAGGTTTGCTTCGAATCATGTGCCCAGTCCATCTCCATTTTTGTTGGTCTATCTGCACAAGAATGTCTGTCAAGTTAGTTTTTGCTCTTATATCCTCACATCTGTGTCTGTCTCTTCTGTTTATCCCTAACATACTTCTCTCCATGGCTCTTTGACATCTTTGCAATTTCTCCCGCTGTTCTTTGTTTAAGGCCCATGTTTCGCATCCGTATGTCAGACACGGCAGAATGCAAGTATTAAATGTCTTTCTTTTTGTTGACAGTTGTATGTTCTTGTTTTTCATTATCTCTCTCAGAGACCAGTATCTCTTCCATCCACTGGCTATTCTTTTGTTTATTTCTTTATCTGTCTGATCTCTAAAAGACACCACTTGTCCCAGGTAAACATACTCTTCCACATACTCCAAGCACCCACCGTCCAAACCAACGTCAATCTCCATTGAGTTGGTCAGGATCTTGGTTTTTGCAGTATTCATTGACAGACCCACTGTTTTGCTTTCGTTTGACAGACTTTGAATCATAGTTTCAAGGTGTATAGGACTTTCTTCGAAGAGTACAATGTCGTCTGCAAAACGTAGGTATTACACACTTACAAACACATAAATACATACTCTATGTGTTATCAACCATATAATTGATAACATAGAGAATATGAAGGCATATGTTTCATTGTTTATGACTGATTATGCAATGTTTTTATTTATGGATGATAATAGTGGGCCTGCTTGTGCTAAGGGTTCAGTGGAAGATAATGGGACTAGTGATCAAGTATGACCAACCACACCAACAACCTTCATGGCCATCTAACTATATTTCATTTTTATTTACATAAAGATTCGAAATATGAAAATGATTATTAATTACATAAGTTTGCTACCATAACATGGTATGTTAAGAATACATATTTATTTTGTAAAATTATTTAATACAAAACACTAGTGAACAAGAAAGTGGTCTATTTGTTGGGTCCGTTAATCAATAAGCATGATTTAAGTCAGTAACCTATTGTGGGAAATTCGTCACATTAACACAATTAACCACAATGGTTTTTTTTTGTGTATGATAATGGAATGGTGCACCCGCCTGTGCCAACGGTTTACGCTAGCCGGGCACCAGTGGAGGATGACAAGATGAGCATGAGGTCAGGTCAGTCAGCCCATCGTGCCAAATTCACCAAGAATTCCTCACGATGGTCTCCAGGGAGAACCGCATGGAGGTCGACCTAACATGGTACATTGCTAGCAATAGGAGTTGCTAATTCCCATTGCTAACAATCCCCTTCCCCCCCAGCCACATTGGTTTCCAGAAGAGACTGTGGAGGTTGACCTGGAACATTGCTAGTAATGGAATCGCTAAAATATTATTCTCCATCGCCTATTAGGGAAACACTAATCGAGGTGAACATAAAAAAGTTGAACTGTTTTGTTATGCAGATGTCACAGTCACAGTGGGGTGAGTTGCCGCTTCTTCCTCTGAAGTGCATACTTGATCACCTCAGCTTGGAGGATGCCCTCGCGGCTACATCAGCATGCCACCATTGGCGCGCAGCTCTCTTGTTGTATGAGGGACACAAGTAAGTGACTGAACTATATTTATTTATTCGGTTAGTAGACCAAACAGCAAATGGTTGGTCTTTGTAAGATTATAAATAAATTATAGGGTACATACAAAATAGATTTTTTTTTACCTATTTACACACATACGTACAATTAATCGCCCCAGTGCGCAGCCGCTTCGCAAACGCTTCTGATATTAATATCAGACAATAAGCCCTGGTAAATTGTAAGTTACAGACTAGGCAGATAACCTACAACCTTTATTTATGACTAACTGTTTCCGCGACTTCGTCCGCGTGAATTTTAACTTTATTTTTCTAAAATACAAGTAGCCTAAGTTACTCCTTACTACATCAGCTACCTGCCAAAAAAAGTCCCGTCAAAATCGGTCCAGCCATTTCAGAGATTAGCTGGAACAAACAGACAGAAAGCAGACAGACAAAAATTGTAAAAAAAAATATTTTGGTGTATGTACCGTATTTATATTCATGTGATTGTAGTAAAAAACTGTTATTTCAATGATACAAACAGACACTCCAATTTTATTTGATATGTATAGATGTATATGTACATTTATCATGATTAGTGGTTATTTGATACAACATAAATATTTAATTATAAATACATATTTGAATAAAATATTATTAATTTTAGCATTCCAATAGTAGTAGTAGGGGGTATAGGGGTAATATTATAACACTTTCTTGATTTATAAAATTATCTACATAACGAACACAAAGTGAGTGAAATTTCAGATTAATTTACTCATATAAACTCAATCCTTCGACACAATTAGTTTATAGTACTTTGAATTGTTTTACCAATGCTTCCTAAAAAATCAGTATCGAATGGTAATGATTCTGACAATGATATCACTACAGATCCCGGTTTAATTATGTTGAATGCGAAACTTAATATACAATCATCTATTATGTGTTTAAATTGCATAATACATCGATTGATTAGAACTTAAATCTAAAAAGGTTGTACTCCTAATATAGAATTTGCTTCACACATTAATATAATGATTGTCTATATATTTTATAAAATTTTAAAAATAATCCTTCCTTTCAGTCCTTTTCATACTATTTTATATAGGGAGGTGCCCCGACGACGTGACGTGGTTAATCCGACTCTAATCATGTGATACTTTGTGTATTTTCAGAGAAACATTGAAGTTAAGAGCCAAACAGCTGGACAAGAATGTGTTCCTGACCCGTATATTTAGGAAATACGTAAAGAGGCTACACATCTACATAGACTGTAATGAGGAGCAGCTGGACAAATTTATCACCTTATTAATGCCGCAGTGAGTCTATTTTACTTTGATCCCAAGAACCCAATACCTTTACAGGTTAAGGAGATATAACTATAGCTATAGCTTTCTATATTTTTTACTTGTGGTAGCCACAACTTTGTTGGTTGTTGATTGTTGAATAACAAAAATAAATTAAGCATTTATACAACGCAATCTATGAAGTATTTTATTAATAAATTATATATATAAAGTAGTGGACAGCACATCTAAAATTGATAATAAATAAATCATTTAGGGGATTTTTTTCATTTTTAAATTTGTTATTGAACACTTTACTAAATATTTATCGCTTCTATCAATAAAAACTGACCTTCGCGTTTCTAATAAAATTATACATTATAATGTTCTTAAGATTAAAGTAAATCTGTTGATAAAGTATGTTTATTATGTATGTATGTAAGATATAATTATATTTTCATTTAAATTATTAATTGCAATTCTAGAGGACTATGATGTAATGCTTCTTATCCTGTAAGTTCACGGTTTAATTTGTAGTCTAACGAAAGACAGGTTACAAATCAAGCTGCTTGGCGGCTAAAGTATGTGAGACTAATATTGCTGCGCCTTTTTACAGTCTACCTCCAGTAAATCAATGTAGACGTTTTTCTATCACTGCGTCTTGCTGCGACTAAATACACCATTTGTATTAAAATGTTGAAAAACGGTGAAAATGTGACACAGATGAAGTTGCACGGGGCCGTTAGTTGTACATGTGGGTCTTTATGGGAATGAGTATAAAATTTTACAATAAGATAACAAAGAATAAACTGAAATTACCTTTAAATAAATTTAAAACATCTGATAAATCATATGTATTAAGCAAAGCTATTTATTTACCAAACTGACTGACAAAAAACTTTAAGCGGCTAAAATATAAAGGAGAATAAATGGTTTTTCATCATCACTACATAACAAAGTTGCTGTCGCTATCTGTCCGTCCCTATGTATGCTTAAATCTTTAAAACTACTCAACGGATTTTGAAGCTGTTTTTTTAAATAGATAGAATGATTAAAGGGATAAGCTGGAGAAGCAGGCAGATGAAAACAACGATGCTTAGACGCCATAAAACAGTCGAATCACAGATGATTGCGGTATTCCCTAGAAATTGATAACACCTCAAAGCATTGGGCAGATAATATCGCGCGATGGATAATGAATTGCATTAACTAAAACAATACCAATTTAGGGAAATAGACCTTAATTGTATAACTTTAAGGCTAATTATACGAAAGTAGTAATTATTTATTTGATGTAGGTTTTTTTTATTTAACATACTGTTATTCATTGAAGGTCGGCATGACATGGTACTTAGTAATGAGGGCACTACTTCCTTTAACCGAGTTTTTGATAAAGAATTAATCTTTACATATTTTCAATTTTGCATGCCTAATGAGGCAATACATTACTATATTATTTTTTATAATAACAACTTACTTCTGTTTATGGCAAAATAAATTTGATTTGATTTGATTTTCTATAAACTCTATTAATATTGATACATGTATTTAGTGTCCTCTACAGTGACTTCATGCTAATTTTAATTCTTATCTTATCGTAATATAGTAATATTCAATTTGGAATTATATTATGCATTTTTTTTTCAGATTCTTAGATACTGTTAAACTGGAAGAGTTGATATTCATAGGCCCAAGTTATATACAACAAAATCCAAGAATTCCACTCGTCAAGTTAAAACGGTAAATATTTTATTCTCATATTCTGTCTCCTACAATATCTCTAACACAAGATGATATACAGTCATTATATAATAACAACACAATATGTTAACATACTTTATATAACGTTCCAAGCTAAGCAGAGCTTGTGTTATGGATACTAAACAACTATTATACATATGAATACAATTGTTTGTATTATATATGGAATCGAACCTGCGACCATTGGAAGTAAGGCAGTGTGCCAAAACACTAGACCGCCAAGCCCTTCAATTAAGTTGGTAGTATTAAATAATGAATATTGTTTTAGAATAATAACAGAGAGCCTGATCTACAAACACATCCAGAGTATCCAGAGGTTGGGCTTCATCGGTTGTGGTTTGAGTGCAGTTAGGAATGATGAGGAGAAATGCACAGTAAGTAATATCACTTAATTATTGAACATCTACTATGAAATATGAGTGTGAAGCTTTGGAATTAAATAATAATAACAATAATATTGAACAATCCACACAGCGCAATCTAGACTCAAGCTAAGCAGAGCTTGTGTTGTGAGTACACTACACAATTGATATAAATAGTATAAATGGGAAGCCACTAGAACAACGAAGCTGTAACATTAAAGACATATTATAAAACAAATGACATTCTCCGGCTTTCTATTAATAATAACCCAGGAAAATTATTTAATCGCCATCTCGTCCCAAACAAAACTATGGGTACTAAGAAACTGATTGAAATACTTTAGCACATTTTTTTTTGTTAAAATACACTAATAAAAGTAAATATTTGCGAGATCGAAACCGCGACGATCAGAAATAAAGTTGACGTACTAAACTGTTAAACCAATAAGGCTATATAATACGAGGCTTAAATCTAAATCTCTTATTACAAAAGAGCTGTGCCCACCAATGCATATAACATTTAATTTAATTTTACTATTATATTTACTTTCACCAATTAAAACTTAATATTATATTATTTTCAGCATAATCTGGCAGAACGCTATTCTAGGCCATTAATGTTCAACAATGATCCCACCCTGGGGGGTTCCATCTTTTCAAACTGCAGCTCAAATGTTGGAGCGTTCTCTGCACTACGGGTAAGTTCCTTTCTAATGAGTGATAATGATATAGTACTCTTCAACCGGACCATACCTTAAGCTGATTGACATCTGAAATAGGTGGCACCTTATCCACTCAGATGACTTTACAAAGGCTACCTAAGTTTAGAAAATCAATTTTTATAAGTTCTTATTTTCATTTTTTATAGTTCATTTTGTGGATATATGAAAATTAAGTGTATCACTTATAGTTTGGGACATTAAAATACTACAATTGAGTATGATTTCTTATAATATTAATGATATATAATAAAAATGACGCAGAACTACAGAAAATATAACACAAGATGGCTGCCAGTAAGTAGAAGCATAGCCGGCGCTCTCATACAGCGAAAGTACAAAACAGTATTGAGTGATATCCGTAAGCGGCGTAGTCGATTCCTTAATATTATATCTATTCAATATTACTAAACTACGTGTCTTCGGAATCACAAAAGAGTCGTTGTAACTACAGATCGTATACATGAAATGACATCGGAGTGTAGGACGTGTGTGAAGTGTATGCGTGGTGGGTGCAGCACGTGGCGGTGGAGTACGCGGCGGTGTGCGGGCGGTGGGCGTGGTTGTCGTGGGCGGGCGCGCTGCCGTCGCTGGCGCTGCTCACCCTCACCGTGTCGGGCGGCGGCCGGCTGCATCCGCTGCCGCCCAAGGTCCTTCGAGCCGGACTCGACGTCGCCGTCAACATCGTGAGTACTTAGTGGCCGTCAATTACGTCACACGTTAGCTACCTGTACACTTTTGTAGGCACATTAAGGGGCCACACTTAAACAGACACGACGATTTTATATCTGTAATTTTGTTTCAGATCGACATGCCATATAATAAATTTGAAGATGTGATGCAGAATGTTCTGATTCCTGAACTACAGTTAATATCGCTGAAAGTCATGTTTTGTAAAACTGTAAGTAAACGTTTCTTATAAGAGTTTTTTTTATTCTTTATCTATTATAGTGAATACCTTAAGAAAGTTTGTCTATACCAATATTATACAGAGAAAATATTTGATATTCTGTTTGCTTATCTGTAATTATACAATCCTGCATTAGGGCTACTTATTGTGGATGTATCGATTGAATTTCTTGCCAATCCTTCTCAATTGATGTAGCTAGCCAAACTGGACAGTAAATATAGTTATAAAAATGTGAGTGGCATAGACTTAGACAAAAATATGACACTGAAAATTGTAAGTGGTGTACGAACGTTAGGTGTACGCGCCGCTGGTGGAGCACGTGGCCTGCCACTACAAGGAGACTCTCCGCGAGGTGTTGTGGGCCGACTGCCCCGCCGCCGACTGCGAGCCCCCCAGGCGACACGTGCGCCGCCCGCCTTCCGTTAGTACTGCACTCACTCATTGCCCACCCAATCACTAGTCGAAACGCTCACAGCTAGAATCACTCGTTGAATTAATTGCACAAAACACTCACTACTCGAAACACTCACAACGCTCACTGCTCGAAACATTCACAATACTCACTGCTCAAAACATTCACTCACTGCTCGTAACACTTCGTAAATAATAATATGTTTCATTTATATTTTCAGTATGACGTGTGCAATGTGAATCCCTTCATTTTGCTATGCTGGCAATGCGTTCAGTTACAAAGACTGGTCATACATGGTATGTTTTATATTATTTTTGTATTATTGTAGATAACATTGAAAAAACATTTTTTTACTTGATTTTCTTGACAATATAAAAGTATTAAAAATGACATGAATGTGGATGGATGTAAAGGGAGAGGGGACGGAAGAAAAGGTGGTCTTGTATGAAGTATGATATGCTTAAAAGGAGAATAAGGAGACATGATAGCTAATAGAAACTGGCTGAAGAAAATGACAATCCCAAATAACGGGTTAAAGGCAAGGAAATTGTGTTTTGATTTAGTACTAATGAATATATTAAATTATTTCCACACTAAGTTTTATGGAAAGAAAATGAAATTTGTTTCAAGTTGTCTATTCTTTCGGGTATTTTATTGGGAACCAAAAATAATCTATGATACATTAGTTCTTGGTGACCACATTCCGCTACTACTTCAATACTTTTCAGTATGTCATATTAAATTCTGCAAATGGTGAGTATGTAAAGAAGTGATAAATTAAATGGAAATATGACTTATGACAACAGGCTACTGGGTGTGGCAGTACGATGTAATAGGATTTGTCCGGCTGCGCCCGTCGCTTGAGGAGCTCGTAGTGTCGTCCATATACACCAAGCAAGCGCACTTCGGAGACGCTCCTAGCAGCGCCCTGCGAGTGCTGGCCAGCGACTCACCCCATGTGCTCGACGACACTTACGTGCTGGTAAGACTGTGGGTAAAGAGGTGAATTGCAAACAAGGTGACAGTCTAAATAAGTATGTCCGGGCAAGGAGCGTATGCTCGAGGCCCTGTGGTCTGTAAAGACCTGCGGATAACCCGAAGTAGTAGTATCTAATGGTGGGTGGTAATTATCGCCTGTTGTACAAGCGATTATTACCACCTACCGTACTACGTAGATAGAGTAGTACTACGGATTGACGTCATTATGTGACACCTGTGGCATTAATCATGTATTGTCACTCCGGAGTACAAAGATATCATACCACAGTATTCGGAAAATTCATTACCTTATCTCCCTTCAACCGTATCACATCTTACAAAGCAAGAAGCTTGGGAGCTGAAATTGGCGAGACGACTTCATATAAAGTCAAACTAGTCTAAGATTTCGGGCGTTAGCTTTTGCGCGCTCCTGATTGCGCGTTAAATCATGTCTATCAACGGTCCAATGCTTGTAGTACGTGCCGTTTGCTGTATGATATATTTTTTTATTGTTTTGGCAGGAGATAAATAAGTTCACGCAGTTCCGTTGGCGGCCGAGCTCGTGGGAGGATCTGCCGCGCGGACTGCGGGCCCGCGCGCCCCCCGCCGCGCGCGTCGCGCTCCTCATGAACGAGCTCGCCCGCACACCGCGCGCCGCGTGAGTGTCCCTCTCTAGTGTGTAGCGCCGCGTGAGTGTCCCTCTCTAGTGTGTAGCGCCGCGTGAGTGTCCCTCTCTAGTGTGTAGCGCCGCGTGAGTGTCCCTCTCTAGTGTGTAGCGCCGCGTGAGTGTCCCTCTCTAGTGTGTAGCGGCGCGTGAGTGTCCCTCTCTAGTGTGTAGCGCCGCGTGAGTGTCCCTCTCTAGTGTGTAGCGGCGCGTGAGTGTCCCTCTCTAGTGTGTAGCGCCGCGTGAGTGTCCCTCTCTAGTGTGTAGCGCCGCGTGAGTGTCCCTCTCTAGTGTGTAGCGCCGCGTGAGTGTCCCTCTCTAGTGTGTAGCGCCGCGTGAGTGTCCCTCTCTAGTGTGTAGCGGCGCGTGAGTGTCCCTCTCTAGTGTGTAGCGCCGCGTGAGTGTCCCTCTCTAGTGTGTAGCGGCGCGTGAGTGTCCCTCTCTAGTGTGTAGCGCCGCGTGAGTGTCCCTCTCTAGTGTGTAGCGGCGCGTGAGTGTCCCTCTCTAGTGTGTAGCGCCGCGTGAGTGTCCCTCTCTAGTGTGTAGCGGCGCGTGAGTGTCCCTCTCTAGTGTGTAGCGCCGCGTGAGTGTCCCTCTCTAGTGTGTAGCGCCGCGTGAGTGTCCCTCTCTAGTGTGTAGCGCCGCGTGAGTGTCCCTCTCTAGTGTGTAGCGCCGCGTGAGTGTCCCTCTCTAGTGTGTAGCGCCGCGTGAGTGTCCCTCTCTAGTGTGTAGCGCCGCGTGAGTGTCCCTCTCTAGTGTGTAGCGGCGCGTGAGTGTCCCTCTCTAGTGTGTAGCGCCGCGTGAGTGTCCCTCTCTAGTGTGTAGCGGCGCGTGAGTGTCCCTCTCTAGTGTGTAGCGCCGCGTGAGTGTCCCTCTCTAGTGTGTAGCGCCGCGTGAGTGTCCCTCTCTAGTGTGTAGCGCCGCGTGAGTGTCCCTCTCTAGTGTGTAGCGCCGCGTGAGTGTCCCTCTCTAGTGTGTAGCGGCGCGTGAGTGTCCCTCTCTAGTGTGTAGCGCCGCGTGAGTGTCCCTCTCTAGTGTGTAGCGGCGCGTGAGTGTCCCTCTCTAGTGTGTAGCGCCGCGTGAGTGTCCCTCTCTAGTGTGTAGCGGCGCGTGAGTGTCCCTCTCTAGTGTGTAGCGCCGCGTGAGTGTCCCTCTCTAGTGTGTAGCGGCGCGTGAGTGTCCCTCTCTAGTGTGTAGCGCCGCGTGAGTGTCCCTCTCTAGTGTGTAGCGCCGCGTGAGTGTCCCTCTCTAGTGTGTAGCGCCGCGTGAGTGTCCCTCTCTAGTGTGTAGCGCCGCGTGAGTGTCCCTCTCTAGTGTGTAGCGCCGCGTGAGTGTCCCTCTCTAGTGTGTAGCGCCGCGTGAGTGTCCCTCTCTAGTGTGTAGCGGCGCGTGAGTGTCCCTCTCTAGTGTGTAGCGCCGCGTGAGTGTCCCTCTCTAGTGTGTAGCGGCGCGTGAGTGTCCCTCTCTAGTGTGTAGCGCCGCGTGAGTGTCCCTCTCTAGTGTGTAGCGCCGCGTGAGTGTCCCTCTCTAGTGTGTAGCGCCGCGTGAGTGTCCCTCTCTAGTGTGTAGCGCCGCGTGAGTGTCCCTCTCTAGTGTGTAGCGGCGCGTGAGTGTCCCTCTCTAGTGTGTAGCGCCGCGTGAGTGTCCCTCTCTAGTGTGTAGCGGCGCGTGAGTGTCCCTCTCTAGTGTGTAGCGCCGCGTGAGTGTCCCTCTCTAGTGTGTAGCGGCGCGTGAGTGTCCCTCTCTAGTGTGTAGCGCCGCGTGAGTGTCCCTCTCTAGTGTGTAGCGGCGCGTGAGTGTCCCTCTCTAGTGTGTAGCGCCGCGTGAGTGTCCCTCTCTAGTGTGTAGCGCCGCGTGAGTGTCCCTCTCTAGTGTGTAGCGCCGCGTGAGTGTCCCTCTCTAGTGTGTAGCGCCGCGTGAGTGTCCCTCTCTAGTGTGTAGCGCCGCGTGAGTGTCCCTCTCTAGTGTGTAGCGCCGCGTGAGTGTCCCTCTCTAGTGTGTAGCGGCGCGTGAGTGTCCCTCTCTAGTGTGTAGCGCCGCGTGAGTGTCCCTCTCTAGTGTGTAGCGGCGCGTGAGTGTCCCTCTCTAGTGTGTAGCGCCGCGTGAGTGTCCCTCTCTAGTGTGTAGCGCCGCGTGAGTGTCCCTCTCTAGTGTGTAGCGCCGCGTGAGTGTCCCTCTCTAGTGTGTAGCGCCGCGTGAGTGTCCCTCTCTAGTGTGTAGCGGCGCGTGAGTGTCCCTCTCTAGTGTGTAGCGCCGCGTGAGTGTCCCTCTCTAGTGTGTAGCGGCGCGTGAGTGTCCCTCTCTAGTGTGTAGCGCCGCGTGAGTGTCCCTCTCTAGTGTGTAGCGGCGCGTGAGTGTCCCTCTCTAGTGTGTAGCGCCGCGTGAGTGTCCCTCTCTAGTGTGTAGCGGCGCGTGAGTGTCCCTCTCTAGTGTGTAGCGCCGCGTGAGTGTCCCTCTCTAGTGTGTAGCGCCGCGTGAGTGTCCCTCTCTAGTGTGTAGCGCCGCGTGAGTGTCCCTCTCTAGTGTGTAGCGCCGCGTGAGTGTCCCTCTCTAGTGTGTAGCGGCGCGTGAGTGTCCCTCTCTAGTGACTGTAGCGCCGCGTGAGTGTCCCTCTCTAGTGTGTAGCGCCGCGTGAGTGTCCCTCTCTAGTGTGTAGCGGCGCGTGAGTGTCCCTCTCTAGTGTGTAGCGCCGCGTGAGTGTCCCTCTCTAGTGTGTAGCGGCGCGTGAGTGTCCCTCTCTAGTGTGTAGCGGCGCGTGAGTGTCCCTCTCTAGTGTGTAGCGCCGCGTGAGTGTCCCTCTCTAGTGTGTAGCGGCGCGTGAGTGTCCCTCTCTAGTGTGTAGCGCCGCGTGAGTGTCCCTCTCTAGTGTGTAGCGGCGCGTGAGTGTCCCTCTCTAGTGTGTAGCGCCGCGTGAGTGTCCCTCTAGTGTGTAGCGGCGCGTGAGTGTCCCTCTCTAGTGTGTAGCGCCGCGTGAGTGTCCCTCTCTAGTGTGTAGCGGCGCGTGAGTGTCCCTCTCTAGTGTGTAGCGGCGCGTGAGTGTCCCTCTCTAGTGTGTAGCGCCGCGTGAGTGTCCCTCTCTAGTGTGTAGCGGCGCGTGAGTGTCCCTCTCTAGTGTGTAGCGCCGCGTGAGTGTCCCTCTCTAGTGTGTAGCGGCGCGTGAGTGTCCCTCTCTAGTGTGTAGCGCCGCGTGAGTGTCCCTCTCTAGTGTGTAGCGCCGCGTGAGTGTCCCTCTCTAGTGTGTAGCGCCGCGTGAGTGTCCCTCTCTAGTGTGTAGCGCCGCTTGAGTGTCCCTCTCTAGTGTGTAGCGGCGCGTGAGTGTCCCTCTCTAGTGTGTAGCGCCGCGTGAGTGTCCCTCTCTAGTGTGTAGCGGCGCGTGAGTGTCCCTCTCTAGTGTGTAGCGCCGCGTGAGTGTCCCTCTCTAGTGTGTAGCGCCGCGTGAGTGTCCCTCTCTAGTGTGTAGCGCCGCTTGAGTGTCCCTCTCTAGTGTGTAGCGCCGCGTGAGTGTCCCTCTCTAGTGTGTAGCGCCGCGTGAGTGTCCCTCTCTAGTGTGTAGCGGCGCGTGAGTGTCCCTCTCTAGTGTGTAGCGCCGCGTGAGTGTCCCTCTCTAGTGTGTAGCGCCGCGTGAGTGTCCCTCTCTAGTGTGTAGCGCCGCGTGAGTGTCCCTCTCTAGTGTGTAGCGCCGCGTGAGTGTCCCTCTCTAGTGTGTAGCGGCGCGTGAGTGTCCCTCTCTAGTGTGTAGCGCCGCGTGAGTGTCCCTCTCTAGTGTGTAGCGGCGCGTGAGTGTCCCTCTCTAGTGTGTAGCGCCGCGTGAGTGTCCCTCTCTAGTGTGTAGCGGCGCGTGAGTGTCCCTCTCTAGTGTGTAGCGCCGCGTGAGTGTCCCTCTCTAGTGTGTAGCGCCGCGTGAGTGTCCCTCTCTAGTGTGTAGCGCCGCGTGAGTGTCCCTCTCTAGTGTGTAGCGCCGCGTGAGTGTCCCTCTCTAGTGTGTAGCGGCGCGTGAGTGTCCCTCTCTAGTGTGTAGCGCCGCGTGAGTGTCCCTCTCTAGTGTGTAGCGCCGCGTGAGTGTCCCTCTCTAGTGTGTAGCGGCGCGTGAGTGTCCCTCTCTAGTGTGTAGCGCCGCGTGAGTGTCCCTCTCTAGTGTGTAGCGGCGCGTGAGTGTCCCTCTCTAGTGTGTAGCGGCGCGTGAGTGTCCCTCTCTAGTGTGTAGCGCCGCGTGAGTGTCCCTCTCTAGTGTGTAGCGGCGCGTGAGTGTCCCTCTCTAGTGTGTAGCGCCGCGTGAGTGTCCCTCTAGTGTGTAGCGGCGCGTGAGTGTCCCTCTCTAGTGTGTAGCGCCGCGTGAGTGTCCCTCTCTAGTGTGTAGCGGCGCGTGAGTGTCCCTCTCTAGTGTGTAGCGGCGCGTGAGTGTCCCTCTCTAGTGTGTAGCGCCGCGTGAGTGTCCCTCTCTAGTGTGTAGCGGCGCGTGAGTGTCCCTCTCTAGTGTGTAGCGCCGCGTGAGTGTCCCTCTCTAGTGTGTAGCGGCGCGTGAGTGTCCCTCTCTAGTGTGTAGCGCCGCGTGAGTGTCCCTCTCTAGTGTGTAGCGCCGCGTGAGTGTCCCTCTCTAGTGTGTAGCGCCGCGTGAGTGTCCCTCTCTAGTGTGTAGCGCCGCTTGAGTGTCCCTCTCTAGTGTGTAGCGGCGCGTGAGTGTCCCTCTCTAGTGTGTAGCGCCGCGTGAGTGTCCCTCTCTAGTGTGTAGCGGCGCGTGAGTGTCCCTCTCTAGTGTGTAGCGCCGCGTGAGTGTCCCTCTCTAGTGTGTAGCGCCGCGTGAGTGTCCCTCTCTAGTGTGTAGCGCCGCTTGAGTGTCCCTCTCTAGTGTGTAGCGCCGCGTGAGTGTCCCTCTCTAGTGTGTAGCGCCGCGTGAGTGTCCCTCTCTAGTGTGTAGCGGCGCGTGAGTGTCCCTCTCTAGTGTGTAGCGCCGCGTGAGTGTCCCTCTCTAGTGTGTAGCGCCGCGTGAGTGTCCCTCTC